GTGGGCTTTGAGTTTTGAGGGTCGATAACTTCCTGTTTAATTAGCTATTCAATTTTGCATTTACTGTACTCTGTGTGTGCGTGTTTGTGTTTGTGTGTTGCCTTCCTTCCTTTTCTCATGCATCCATTCTCTCTTTCCCCCTCTCCCCACAAAATCACAATGCCCCCCCTTCATTTTTCTCAATCATACACAATAATAAGGCGATTCTTATGGCGAAATTTGCTTCTTCGTCATTTTTTTTTATAACCTTGAGCCCATTTCAATCAACCTGATCTCATTAAACGGATTACAGATATTAGACCAAACTCATTTCCTTTAAGAGAATGTAAGGTTGGTATGTTTCTACTCCAAATGTGTAATACACTCCATTGTTTTGAGTCGTTGAAATTCTTATACACCACTATTCAAGTGCACATGTCATGTGTGGACGAAAAATATTAATTAATACTCTATATTGGCAAGATTTATGCCACAATTCAAAATATGGATATTAGCACCCAGACGCTCCAACATTCTCTCTACATCCCATGTGATACACTATTTGTTTGAGTCGAGTTGAGTTTCTTTCCAATATGTTTTGTGTTCTCTAAAAGAAATTTCTAATGAGCTCTCCTTTGTCACGAGATTATTCTAAGATAAATATGCTCACCTTTATATTTTTATAGAACTTATTAGTATCAATAGTAACCACGAACTTTTTTAAGCTACCGTACATAAACGTGTCTTGCATAACTGGTTGAATATGATATTATGTGTAATCTGATGCAAGTTATATGATATATGATAGAAATAGTATTAGATGTATGGTGGGCAAGAGGTGAAAAGTGGTAAAAGGCAAGAGAGATTTGCATGGAGATGAGAGTGTGACATAATAATAATACAAAAGAAGATAAAGTGAGAGAAAAGGACAAAAGAAGGCAGTGGGGGGATAGTGATACTGATAGAGTGAAGAGAAAGAGAGAGCAGTAGTGAAATGGATTGGGAATGGACAAACATTAGACATCAGATTGGGGAAGGAAGGCGTAATAGCAGCTCCACTGCTCGGCACTGATGCACTGCTCCACTGCACCACTGCTCCACTCCCCTTTCTTATTTTCTCTCATATCCATCATCTTCATTTGTAAACCCTCAACTCTCTCCCTTTCAAACATGAGAAAGAAAGAAAGAAAGAATGGGAAGATTGATGATGGGAAAGAGGTTGGTCCTGCTGCACGATACCCTGTTGGTGGGTTAGGTAGCAACCCCTGCCCACCCTTTCTCCGGACCCATCCCTTAGATTCCTGCCCCCACCCCACCTCTCTCTTAACTTACCTCTTTCTTCAGACCAAAACCAATTATTTTTTACTTTACATTCTTCTTCTAAACCAAAAGGAAAGTGGACGCTTTTGGATTGAGTTGAGCTTCTTTTAAATTATATATTCAGACTAAAATTGGATTCCCCCCCTCATTTAAAGGCTTTAACAACTATTTTTCTTCTTTTTAATACGTCTGCCATGCATTGTTCATTGAGATTCGTGGAAATCGCCACTCCTCTTCAAAAAGATTTCAAAAAAGTTACCCATTAACTCTTAACTCTTGATTCAAGAAAATGATGGAAATCTGACTTGAGCTGCTGGGTGTGGCAATAAAGTAGGACACAAGTCAAACTGGGTTAACTAACTAGATCAGGATCTTCAATTCTGTGACCCTCTTTAATTTATACCTGAAATTGGTGGAAGAGAGTGCTTCAGTTACTGCAGCAGCTGTTGTTTGGTGTTCATATTTCAATTATTATTAGCTTTCTCTCAATATCCGTACAGGATGAAAATTTGTAATTAAAACCTGCCCGATTTATACATCTCCGTAAGATTGTATTCGTGGCCTTACCAAAGCAAAAAAAGAAAAAGAGAATCCTGCAGCACAAATACGAAGCTAAGAAGAACTGAGATCCCACGTCTCTCTCTCTCTCTCTATACGTATCTATAGACTATATAGAGAGAAGAAGTAATCGAGCCCAGCTGATATGGTGTACAACCCAATATTTCTCATATAAATGCCTCCCATCTCTCCTCTCTCCATTAATTGAAACAACCCAAGTTGCCTTTCAAATTTTGTGTGTTTCTCCAAGTGAACCCTCCAAAACAAAAGAAAAAAAAAAACCCCATTTCATATTCAATCCCACTTCCATTAAAAAGACAAGATTCTGGCCGCACACGGTGGAGATCGCAGCTACGGCCGCCATGACAAGCAATGGGATGGCGTTTTTTCCAGCAAATTTCATGCTACAAACTTCCCATGAAGATCATGATCATCATCACCACTCTTCTCCTCCATCTCTCAACCCAATTCTTCCTTCTTGCACATCCCAAGATTTTCATGGTATTTCTCAATCATCTCTGTTAAAAAGATACCGTCTTTTTTTATTCTGCTTTACAAAAAACAAAAGGTTTCATCTTTGACATGGGTTTAAAACATTTTTATTCTGGCAGGAGTTGCATCATTTCTAGGAAAACGATCCATGTCGTTTTCAGGGGCGGAAATGGTGGAAGAAGGAAATAACGGTGAGGATGAATTTTCTGATGATGGGTCACAGGCAGGTGAGAAAAAGAGGAGACTCAACATGGAGCAAGTGAAAACACTAGAGAAAAATTTCGAACTGGGAAATAAGCTTGAGCCTGAGAGAAAAATGCAGCTGGCTAGAGCCCTTGGTCTACAGCCAAGACAGATTGCTATTTGGTTTCAAAACAGGAGGGCTCGGTGGAAGACTAAGCAGCTAGAGAAAGACTACGATCTTCTCAAGAGACAATTTGAAGCTATCAAATCAGATAACGAAGCCCTCAAATCCCAGAACCAAAAACTTCAAGCAGAGGTAATTACTTCTTTCCATTCTATTACCTTTTCAACTTCTTGGAGCCTTTCTGAAACTCTGATCATTCAAAAAGCTTAGATTTCTTTTTCCTTTTTTGGAATGGTCAAATTTAGTTTTGGTATTAATTTTAGTACATGATGAATAAATTTCTCTGTCTTGCCATGCATCTAAGTGTAAGGAATGATTACTCATTAGATTGAAGGCAAAAATATGGTAATGATGAGTCCCAAAAGGTGCATATTAATGCAAATGGGAGTTCTTTTTTTCCTTTTTTTAAATATATATATTTATATTGAAGGAAATTGATTGAATGAATGAAAGTGTGAATTGTTGGGGGACAGATAATGGGACTAAAAAGTAGAGAGCCAACAGAATCAATCAACCTGAACAAAGAAACAGAGGGATCTTGCAGTAACAGAAGTGAAAACAGCTCTGATAATATTAAATTGGACATCTCAAGAACACCTGCCATCGATAGTCCTCATCAGCATCAGCATCAGCACCCAACAAACAGGCCTCTTTTTCCCACGTCTTCCTTGAGGCCTCCAGCTTTGGCTCAGCTCTTTCAAACCTCCTCAAGATCATCGGACCCACCAAAGCAACTTGATAACAACAACCACCACCATCATCATCAAATGCCCAAAGAAGAAAACACCAGCTTGTCCAATATGTTCTGTGGAATGGATGATCACTCTGGCTTCTGGCCTTGGTTGGAGCAGCAACATTTCAACTGATCATCATCATCATCTCTCTCATCTCCTCCCCATAATATCAAAAAAGAAAAAAAAAGGAAGCGGAAAGAAATATTAATAATGTCATAATATTAATATGCTTAATTTAATTGGATTTTTCTCAGAGAAATATGAAGTTGCTGTCCTGCGTTTTCCTCTCTCTATCTTTCATTTATCTTCTTCTTTCCGATCTCAACTTGAAGGGTTGTGTTTTTTTGGTGTTAAATTATTTGTCATTGTATAAATTAATGGAATACATATATATATTTTCAGGTGGCGGTTATTGAAAGATGTTCTTATTTTGGCTTTTGAGTTTAAGGAACACATATATATATATATAAGTACGGATAGCATGTCTGGGTGAAAGAAGAGAAACATGAAGATGTATAATGAATGTTGAGAGATTGATGATTGGAGGTAGAGCAGGAGCATGGACGTAATCTCATTAAAAATGAAAAGGGTATTGGCTTAGTTTTCTGTGTCAATAAAGTGAGCTGGGTTGCAATGATTTGGGTGTGCATGGGCACGGTGGACGATGGTTCTACCCATCAAAAGCCAACCCGCCTGCCTGCCTGCCTGCCTGCCTGCCTGCCTGCTCTATGGTCTCCTCTAAAAATAACACTTAAGAGAGAGAGAGAGAGAGAGAGAAAAGGGAATCAAAACACACATCCCAAGGTTGAAAAGAAGACAAGGAGATGGAAGAATGGTAAAAGAAAACAAAAGAAGTTGGAGAAATGGTCGCTGTCGTGAAATGGACGCATGGAGGGGGGCGAGTTTTTCTTTATCATGACAAATGAAAGCAAAGAAAATTACATCAAAATGGGGTATCAAACTCATGAAAACTACAGCTCTCAGTGTCTGTGGGAGCTCTCATGTGAACCCCCCTCTGTCACCCACTCCGCTGCCTATTTCCATCGATTCGATAAGAATTATGATATTGTCTACTTTGACAATATTTTACGGTAACTTTGTTTTTCATTTTCTCAAAAGAACTTATATCAATAAATACTTATAACTTACGACTGTATAAACATACTTTTCAAAGCAAGCATCAAGTTCATTGAAGAGGGAAAATCCAACTACTTAGATGTGCCCAATAACACCACTCCATGCTGCTAGAGGGCCTCGAGCCTTGGACTTGGACCTGGATGCTAAATGTTTGGAGGCCCAGTAACAATCCAAATTGGGCCTATCATTTCACTGGGCTTTCAGCCCACTAAGTTAGATGGCCAGACTCCCAAGTATTAAAAGAAATATAAAAAGCTTTTTCCTTCTATTAAATTCATGAATCTTCAAAAATAAATAAATAGATTTGATTCAGCCACGTGGCCAAAATAATATCCAGTAGTAGCACTCTGTCAATGACCACAAGTTGAGGTCCCCTCCCTCTGTTCATCCTCCGACCAATGGAAACCAAGAGATCTCAAAATCATCCTTCAATCACTTCCCACTCTTTTCTGCTTCATTTCTCCCCTTACAGTTTCGGATAACGCCCCTCAATGGCCGCCTCTACTTCCATCTTTTCACCCACCGCTGCCGCCGTCATCTCCTCCTCCTCCTCCTCCTCCTCCTCCTCCTCCTCCTCTACCCACCGACCACTGTTGTACAATTTCCCCTCAAAGATCACGCCACAATTCAACAGACCCACCACACGCATCCTCGTCTCCTCCTCCTCCTCCACCAACACTTCTCGCGCCGCCGCTGCCGCTTCGAAAAACGCCGCCGAGGAAATCGTGTTCTTCGACGGGGGCGCTCACTATGGCGACCTTGTAGCTAACCTTCTTCTGGGTTTTACTCTTCTATGGCTGCCCTTGACTGTGGCCGCAGTTTCCAGGGCGTTTAACCTCAGGTACAGATTCACCAACCTGCGGGTCACGGTCATTTCAGGACTGACGGGTGAGGACAGAAGTGATTTCTCATACCAGGTGATCAAGGACGTTCAGGTGGTGCCACGTTTCATTGGGGAATGGGGTGACGTTGTGATCACTCTCAAGGACGGCACCAAAGTGGATCTTAGGAGCGTCCCCAAGTTCAGAGAGATCGCCAAATACTGTCTCTCAATGGCTGATAAACCGGCTGTTCCAAAAGAGAGTGGCCCCAAAGGATTTTAGACACCACCGATTCAGTTCTTCTGTTTCTTTGCGAGAGATATGTACGTAATTCTAACTTTTACTCTTTTTATTTTATTTTTTCAATTTCTTCTTGGGATTCTGATGGAGAGTGTATCATTTCAAAATGTGTATCAGAATGGGTAACTAGATTGCATATACAGTTCTGTATTGAATTTTTCAAACAATTCATGATTACTTCTTGAGAGTAACTCGTGCAGCGGATTGAGATGTTGTGCGTTTTGCTCTATAATCCTTCAAATTATTCAAGGAAATGTACTCTGTTCTTGATAAAATTAAACTCAACTGCCTGAAATCTAGGAATTAATGAACAACCGTCGATGAAGTGAAGCTCTTGGAGAGGTTAGGGTCAGAATGAGTAGCCATTATCTTGAAACACAACCCATCTTCTCGCCCATATCCTTCAATCTAGACAACCACGGGAGGACATCACCAGTGTTCAGAATTTCAATCCGAATCGAACTGAATCCAAGAAATGTAAACGTAACCCATTGAATATGTTGTTAATAGTTCATAAGGTTCTTTAATAATCCTTATAACAGTTCAAAGCTTTCAAAATCTATGGAGTTTGTAAGCGTCACTGTTATTAGGTAAGTAATCTATCTAATCACCAAATCACCACAATAATTTACCAATATAAAAACAAAATTGGAACAAAGAATGTTCTCTACTCCACTGTTGAAGACAATATATATATATATTTGAATTGAAAATTTTGATTTGGTACAGTCCATGACTCAGAGCTATCATTTTGAAGGCCAGCTTACCTGGTTGGGGTTGTGGCAGGGCTATCATTTTGAAGGTCAAATCATTATGCTCTTTAACCATCATTTGGACTTCCATTCAAATTTCAAACCAAAGAAAAGTTTGAGTTCATCCATTTTAGAGTGCAATTTATAAAGCTTAAAACTTTCCAGTCTCTTATTCCTCCAAATTTAAGGCCTTTTTGGAATGACTTTTAAAACTATACGAGCACAATCCATCCACAAGTAGATTGCTTTGAACTGAAATGAAATAGAATCCTAGAAGCCATTGTTAAGGAACAAACCTGGGAGCATCTGATCTGACCCAAATGTGTTATGGTGTGGACATTATCTCTTAGCCCAATCTGAGCCCAAGAATTGGGTGTGTGCAAGGTAACTGAAGATGGGAGGGAATTGTAGGCCAAGAAATGGGTAGCTTGGTGGTGGTAGGCCTATTAATAATCATTGAGATGATATGGGGCTTGATAATAGTGATCATCATAATAAAGTCCTGCCCCATTTTAACCCACAACTTTGTGCAACGACTGCCGGTGACAACTGACAGGCGAGAATGCGACGTCTGTGACAGTGTGTAATAAAATCTTGCTCAAATGGTAATAATGGCTTAAATTTCATGCAAGTCTGCAGTTTGTAGTGAAAAAGAGGAGGCCATCCATTGCCAACTTTTTAACTTCACCCCATTGAGACTCAAGAGGAGAGACCCATATTTGGGACCCTCCTCAGGCCTTCAAAATTAAACCAAATCATTTCACTTGACAGATATGAATTAAGTTTGATGAAGATATGGCCCAATCAAAACCCTCTTTCAATCATATAAACATGCTTGGAGGTATGAGTTTTACCACATCTACTAAAAGTGCTAAAAGCTCATTTATCTATCTAAAATGGAGAGATTAAAGCAAAGGAGAAAAACTAAACAAGAATCAAGAAAGTGAGTTACTTTAGTTGCTTGGGGAAATTGTATGGTTAGTTTTGTAGCCCCAGGAAGCAAAATTTGGTGGGAATACAGACTTTTGACCATGTTTCAGGATTTGTCTATCTGACTTCTGCAGAAGAAAAGGCACAAATTTAAGTAAATAAATGATCCTAAGAGTGGGTTTTGGAGGGGACGAAAGATGAACAAGTGATGGGAGGTGGTGTCAAGTCACAGGCCAGAAATGGGAGAAAGAGGCTCACTCTGTGTCTCTGTTTGCTCTGTTTTGATAAAGAGATTGCCCCATTTTTTCTAACTTGACAGAGTGTAATTCATCCTCTCTTTCTCTTTGAAACTTCAACAACATCATGGCTGGGGCTGGGCTGGCCCTCACCTCCACTTCACTTATTAACATAAGCCCTCCAAATGAAACCAAATCCTCTGCATATGGGAGTTCGATCATACAATGATCTTTGTAGATATTGTAGTTATTAATCCAAAGTGGGAGTATTATGCAGTGGTGGAGCAGTGTGCCCCCAAGTTTAAGACATGATTACAAACCAAAAACATCAATGGAATTTGATTTTGTATTGATTATTGGGAACAGTATTCAGTGTAGTAGGTGGAGACTTCAGTTTTGGGGTAGTGGGATTTGAATACAAACTGTCTGCACACTGATATACAAACATCAAGACTTAACATAAACAGTGAAATCTTCCCTTTTTTTTTTTTTTTTTTAAATTTTGTTGAACAGTGAAACGAAAGTGGGTAAGAGTATTAGAAATGGCAAAAAAGGGCATAGGATTCCCGGAACTTTTCTCTTTAGCAAGAGCGTGAAGTGTAAGAAAAATATATGAATGAGCTTAAAAAGGTGGCTCCAATATCCAGGAAATGGGGTGCCCACGTTGTTGGAATCCCCAAGCAACACACAACCCCAACATACACAATAAAAGCTCAATGGCTAGGCATCAAATTATCATTGCACAAAACTCTGATTTCTGTTCCACACGTGGGCCCTTTGGTTTTTTAACATGGGATCCGCCTAAGTTCTATTTTGTTCCAAACCCATCAAGAAATTAAAACCAAAAACAAAGAGATTAATATTTCAAAGATGAACAATGCAAGATTAGTATTGATAAAAAGGGAGATGATTAAGGATAATGAACAAGAAAATGGAAAAAGAGGGGTAGAAAGTTATTTTGTACTCTTGGGTTTGCTTTTGTCTTTGTGTTTATGTTGAAGCAAAAGGGGAAGCTTTATTTGTAGGGTAAAACGCTCCCCCTCTTTTGAGCCTGCTTTTGAGACCTTAACACACCAAGTTTTGAACTGGTGGATTAAGCCACCAGAAAACTAGAATGATTAGGGGAGCGCCATTACCAAATCCTCATTTGGGACCCTCCACATGGAATATATATTACACAATGGATTGTTCTACTTCTCGTCGATTGAAATATTATTATTATTGTTAACACTGAGCACTAAAAGCAAGACACGTTAATGCCAAGGTCTATGGCAAATGCATTGTATTCTACTAACAAAGGAAAGCAAGTTTAGCAGATCATACAGTGGCAGTGGTGTGCCATTTTTGTTTGACTGTCTTTGTCTCTTTCTCTCTGTGAGGTCGGCTACCCCATTTCAAAATGCCATTAACTTATAAAACCATCTTTATTTCTAATTCTATAGGACTAACCACCAGTGGTGTGATGTTGGGAATTGTGTCTCAAACTTAGCCACATAAGCCACATCGATAGAGTTCTCGTGGTTGGTTTAATTAGATGTCATGAGTTTTGGTAATGCCTAGAATAAGTTTTGACCCTATAACAAGAGGGAGACTCATATCATCTTTATCCAAAGAGAAATAAGATTAGGGGTAATAGTTTAAATCTTCCGCTAGCAGATATTGTCATCTAATACAGAGAGTCTTGTCCTACTCCAATTCCGGCAACTGACCATGATATCATTTGTAACATCCTAGGCCCACCACTAGCCGATATTGTCTATTTTGGATTTTTTCCTTCTGGGCTTTCTCTCAAATTTTTCAAACATGTTTGTTAAGGAGAGGTTTACACACTCTTCTAAGGAGTATTTTGTTTCTCTCTCCACCGATATGGAATCTCACATTAGTCTAACTCTAATTCTCTAAACTCCTTAAACTTATGCATCGAAGGCAATGTGATAGTACCACGTCGATGTTCTTTCATGATTCAATATACAGTTGCAACAACATGTGGATCAAATGAATAGATTATATCAAATTTAAATACTTTGAGATCACAAATATTTAAACGGTACATGATTTCTTATTTTGATACCTATCTTAAAATGACTAATAAACCCAAAAAATTAAACCTGCTAATCGGTGATTAAAGGATTAATTGTGTTAAAAGCCGTAACTATTTATGATTGAAGTTAATTTGATTGATGTATTGAACAGAAGAATAAATAAATAAATAAATAACTACTCGTAGGATGCTCAATGGTTCTTTGTTGGGAAGTGGGTTAAAATAATTTGACTACAAAATGAGGAAAATTTAACTATATAGGTAAAACTAATTTCTCCATGACCTATAACTTTTGAATTGATTCCTAACACCATATTTTCAAATAGGAAAAATAAAATAAATAACTAAAAGTTTTGTGTTCATATATTCAAAAATCAACCCTTTGCAAAAGGAAAGAAAGCATCAAGTAAAAAGAAACCAATTTTGTCAAAAGATTTCAATCCAATGCTGCTCAAATTAAAGAAAAAAAAAAAAAAATCAAATCCCATGAAGAATATTTATTTAAAAAATTATATATATATTTGGTTCTACCCGCCAAACTAGAAGGAATTTACTATGATAGATTTGTAGAACTAATCATACCTTAACGTGTGCTAGCCCACTTTGACTCAGGCACACCATATGAGGCACGAACCACTGGAGAAGCAAACTAATAACATTTAAAATTTATAACTTTAATAAGTCAATTATTCAATTTTGTCGTGAAGGATGGAAAAGAATCCCAAATATAAAGTGGTTTAATTATCCGTGACCCAAAGATGGAAAACTAATTTGATAGTAAACCAGGATGTCCTATAAGACAAATCATGAATCCAATAACCATAGAGTATCACAGCTAATAAGAGTATATTAGGACAAAAAAGCATAATATAACGTAGACCCATCTCCCTGATATTGCCAAAATCCTTGCTCTCTTAATTATTTTAGTTTCTAATCATTCCAAATATTCACCTTTATTTAAAACAAGACCCTAAAAAATGAAAAAGAAAACCCCTTAAGCCCTTTTATTATTATTATTATTATTATTATTATTTTGCACCTAAAGGGAAGAGGAAACATTAGTTAAAATGTTGATTCATTATGCAGCCGCTGAGGTTGGCATAATGAGCGGTTCCATGGAAAAAAATAAAAAGAAGAGGCATAAGTGATTATAAGCCCCACATCTATGTTATCACTTCATCAATCTCTTTCGGAACTTGGGCCTCCTCCTCCTCCAATTCTAATCCTCTTTTGCTTCTTACTTGTTTAATTAATTTTGTTAGTGGAACCATCTATAATAATAATACCCTACCAACTCCATTACATACACTTCACTCATAACTAGGTTTAGAGAGTGGCACATCTAGGAGCATTTGAAATCCACTGACACAAAGATGTTGGCAATATGTTTACTGAGGTAGGCGTTGGGAATGGGTAGCAGAAAGGGGAAGAAATGATTCCAAAACTCAGCTGGTATGGGTTGGAAAAGGAACATGGATCCAGTTTGAGGATTGGTTTTCAAATGTGTATTTCAATGGATGCAGCTTTGTGTAAATTCAAGTACTGAAAGCATGTTTTAAAGGAGTAGGACAAAAGTGATAACAATATGTGACCAAAGTATATATACTTCATTTGTGTTTAAATAAAGAGAAAAGGTGATGTTGTATGCACATGTGGGTGGTGGGGTGGGGGGAATCAATGAGGTTGCACATCATCAAATTTTGATCAACGTTAGAATCTAGATGCATTTTAAAATTGACATATATTTATAAATAGACAGTAATATATTAATTCCACCCCACCTGATTGTATTACCTATTTTTTTTCGCGGGTTAGAGTGAAACTAATTTAAGAAAGCTTTGAACCGTTACCAATTTAATTAGTTGGACATATGCATCTTTTCCTAAACAAAAATATGCAACTTTATATATTAGGGTGCCTTTCAAATTCAACATTAAGTTTGTGTAACAATTAATTGGGGTCCAGGCGTGCATTTTGTCAAACATATCCGTAACGCGCTTCCCTATCTAATTATTATTATTATTATATCTTAAACAAATGTAAATATTAACAAGCAACCAAACAACAAATCTACATAAAAAAATTAAAAGTGACCAAACGTTATTTTCACTTTAAATCAAAGAAAAAAATAAAATTAAATTAAGCATTAATGGGGTTCGGAGGAAAGGAGAAGGGGACGTTTATATTTCTTTCCTTTTATTTTATAATTTTGTTGGTGGGATTTCCATTATGCTTTATATATATATATATATATATATATATTTCGAAAATAAAATAAAATAAAATATTTTGTTTTGAGGGTGTGTGGGTTTTGCGTAGGGTTCCACTCCCACAAGGGTCGGTCTTTTTCTGGGTGTTATTGGCATTTGGATGGGCATTTGTGGGACAAATATCACCGTCCCCTCCACAATTACTCCTTTATTATATATATATATATATTTATATATATAACAATTAACATTACCTCTTTTAATGCACTCTTTTTTGAACTTACTCATCCATCAATCTCATATTCAAATAATCTTATTAATTTCCTTACTTTTTTTGTTAATTAAATTTATTTGACTTAGCACCATGATATCTATACCCATGAAACATGAGCATTCATTCTGTCCTAATCAAAAGGATCGAGTAATTAAAACAAATAATTTAAAAATTAAAAGAAGATTAATCAATTAAAAAAATTTAATGAGCTTACAAGTTTGACCAAAGGTGAAACACTTTATATGATTTTTTAAAAGAAAAACAAAAATTGGAAAGTAATTATATTTTAGAGGTGAAAATATTATAATTTTAATTTTTTAAAAGGGAAATGCAATCACTCTTTTTAGGCGGGATATTTCGCTGTCAACAAGAGGGAGTGGGTGAAGGATAGCGTTGTGAGGGGTCCATTCAAAAGATATATAACTTAAATTACTTAATTCCGCTTCTTTTATCTCCACGTGCCACTCGTCCATCTTGTCCACCTAGGACGATCGACACAAAACTCTAATATGGATATTCGGTGACCAGTTCATATCACTGCTGACGTGGAAATAATCTTATGAACATATTTTCATATTTGACCACGCATGTATTAATCTCACACCCACCAAGTTACCTCCATGCATGTTGGGTTCAAATTTTCAAAAATTCAAATGTAGAATATATGGATTCGCATTTTTCATTAATTGTTTACCCACAAAAATTATATTATATATAAAAAAAGCACTCCCAGTCAACCATTTATTAATTACTCGAAATATTAACTTCTGTCACACCCCGTATTACATTACATTTCCTACTTTCTTAAATATTTTAATTTTTATTTCTAAACAACCGTTTTAATTAATATACTCAAAACCCAATTCTGCATGGAGGGTATGTGTAACCTACTTTTATGGGAACTTATTTATTTCTTTTAGCAAATACATTTTTTTTTTAAAATAATAATAAAAGCAGACAATTGCCCAACTTAATAGAGAGTTTTTTCAAATTTTAACAATTTTCTTTTTTTGTTAAGATAAAAATTTAATAAAATATTACTCATGTGACATGCATGCATGCATACATACATACATGACACATATAAAGGGAATAAAAATAATAATAATAATAAAAAAAAAGAGGGGTTGTCAGTGAAATGTGGGTATAGTAGACTCCACCAGGCTATCCCCCACATGGAATTCAGCGTTATTATTCAAACTTCCCTTCATACCCGCGCACTCGCCCAAGAGTCCGTTGTTTCAATTTATTATTTTTTTTTTTCTTTTTTTCTTTTTTTTTTTCTCTAATTTTCTGAATTTTAAATCCCAAGTTCTGGTGTTCTAGATAGAGATTCAAACAGAGGCATTTCTCTGTCTCATATCCTTCCGTCTCTCTACAGTCTCTCGAATCTCTCTCGCCCTTTTACTCGAGGGCTTCTCTATTTTTCACTCACATCCATTTCGATTTCTCTTGCATTTCTGGATCTTTCTTCCCTTCGTAATCATTGGATCTTTAGCTTACAACGCAGTTTCTTGGAGTTCGAGGAAGGAAGATTACTATTACGCTCATTGTTTTGATTCTGGAAATTTCTAATTGGGATTGGATTCATGATTGGTTGTTGGTTGTCTCTGCTCCGTTTCCCTCGGAATCCATGGAGGTTTTGTTTGTTTAATAAACTCAGACACTAGCTGTATAGTGAAGAAATTAAAGTGGTGTGTGTGTGTGTGTGTGTGTGTGTGTGTGAGAGAGAGAGAGAGAGAGAGAGAGAGAGAAAAGGTCAGAATCCGAGGCGGTTTCGATATTGTATGAGGCTTCGTAGAGGGCTTTCACCATCGCTTTCGACTTGAAATTGCTGTTCCGTTTTCCAGCAGTGTTCTCTATCCGTAAAGATTAAAGGAAAGGGAAGGGAGGGAGGTCTTCCTTTTTTGGGGGACTTTGCAGTTTTCTTATCCCCCTTTTTTTATATGCCATAGAAAGGCTGCCTTTAGCATGCAAGTGGGTTTCAATAAAAGGGGAGGAGCGCCTAACACACACAGTTGATTGTAATTAATAAAACCAAATGCAGGACACCAAGAAGAAGCTCGCCACCGAAGATTGCAAGAAGAAGGAACGACACATCGTTTCCTGGACTCAACAGGTTTCCACTTCTTTTCCCTCTCTGATTCTCGTTTTTGTCCTTAATACATTGTTTCCCCTGTTTATACTTCCTTTTGCTGTGATTTCTGACATGGGTTTTTGGAATTTCAGGAGGATGATATTCTCCGAGAGCAGATTAACCAACATGGAACAGAAAAGTATGACCTCGCAGTCATTGGCTCTGTGTTTATCTTCTTTGTTGTTAATCTAATTTAGTTTACTGAAACTGTGATTGATTGTTCTTGTAATCGACTGTTCAGTTGGGCAATCATTGCGTCCAAATTCAAGGATAAGACAACAAGACAGTGCAGAAGAAGGTAATTGAAATGATGAGAACCATTGATTCAAACACTTCTGGTTTTCTTCTGGGTTGATCGAGTTTCACTGATGTGAATGGCCTATGGTAATTACGTTACAGATGGTACACATACTTGAATTCTGATTTTAAGAAAGGGGGATGGTCTCCAGAAGAGGATTTGCTTCTATGCGAGGTGATTCTTCCCCCCATTTGTAAGAAAGAAAAATCCAGAATAGAGATTTAAATATTGTCTGTAATCACTGTCTTATTAGCTTAAAGTTACTGTATATGTCATTTTATTACATTGCTTATTTGTAGGAGTGAAATATAATGTTAAAATGCCTCGGATTAACAAATATAAGCACATGCTGTGGTCTCTTTAAAGATAAAAGTAGCCGAACGGTCAATATGTTGAAACTTTTGCGCATTCCCACGGCATTGGATGCCCTGAAAACTAATAAATTAGCCTGGTCTACAGGCGCAGAAAATATTTGGAAATAGATGGACAGAAATAGCGAAGGTGGTGTCAGGCAGGTATAGAACTTTTCATCCCTCTTATTGCAGTTCAATTTTGCTGCAAAGTTTACTAAACATTTACATGTTGTTTTGGCTTATGCAGAACGGACAATGCAGTAAAAAACCGGTTTACCACCTTGTGTAAAAAGAGAGCCAAATATGAAGCATTAGCAAAAGAGAACTCAAGTTCATTCATCAATCACAACAACAAAAGGGTTCTCTTTCAAAAGGGGAGTAACGACGTTTCTTCTGAAACTTCTCAGTCAGGAAAGAGGATAAGGTAAAAGTTTGTATACAAGATGTTTAAATAGAATGTCAAGGAGAAATTGCTTGACAGGAAATAATTAATTATTCTGCAAATAACCATTTAGGAGAGCACACATATCTCATACAACGGAAAGTTGCTCACTTGATGATGGATTAAAAAAGCCATGCTCAGCAAGGGATCAGCAGCTGAGAGCTCCATTTGCAGCTCTGGTAGAGAATGTCCCTAGTATCGACAATTTGCCAGGTGAACTTCCCATGAACAATGCCGAAGGTCTAAAGACCAGTAAGTCACATACATCAACCTTATAAACCTTCTCATCATTTTGTTAAAACCGGAGACACATCATGCTTTCCAGGATTATCATTTCCTTAAAAATTTCGCCAACGAAAACAAGTCTACTAATCACTCCTTTGTATGCTTTGTATGTTGTTGCATCATTTGGTTTCACTTTCGGGCTCATGATAATGGGTTTAATCTCTTCATTTCTCCACCATAAACAGCTCAAGGCAACAAGAATCAAGAAACCTTTATCAAGAAGGATGATCCGAAGGTAACCGCTTTAACACAACAAGCAGAATTACTTAGTTCGCTCGCATTGAAGGTCAACTCAGAGAATACAGACCAGAGTCTTGAAAATGCTTGGAAGGTAGGTACTTCGTCTATCAACAATGCTGTTATATGTGCTCTGTATGAGTGAGTTGCCATGTTGGTAATGGCAGATAACCAAGTAAATATAGTGGGATAAACCTTTATTCCATGTCTTCCTCATACAAACAAATAAACTCTATTTGTATTATTAGACATGGCAATTAGATTTTCATCATTAAAAAAGGAATAATATCTTGAATTATGTATCGGTGTTAACGTCATTCTCCAAAAATTGTAAACTTCACATCCTATTAAATCTCAAGTATTCTTCTTATATTTTCGTATATGATGTCATATATTCATTCATGTAATAGTTTCTTGTTCTGTGATGTCCATTAAATATGAATCAGATTCTCCAAAATTTTCTCAGTCGAACCAAAGGAAATGACATACCCAGATATGTAACTCCGGATATTGACCTTCAAGTGGAAGACACTAAAGGTTCAGTGGAGGATTTAAGGAGTAGCAATGATGGTAGCCAATGGAGGTAACAAAAGGATGCTAGCTATAATTTTTCAAATTTATGTTACTCATTATTTGTAGCCTTATCTATGTCATGGCCTGCAGAGAATCCAATCTCCACGAATCTCCTGGCAGTTCAGAATACAGTACTGGATCAACACTAGTATCCCAAACCGCGGAGGAAAAAATAGATCAAAGCCAACCTGAGATAGGGACTCATCATCAAGAACCTAAATTTGAATCTGGGTCAACTTGCACCGGAGAGCAAAATAATGGTGAATCTGAGAAAGAAATACTTCCGAAGACAAACCTGGAGCGAGGTAATCAATAAGTTCTCGCATTGGTTATAGAGGCCATTAATCTTTCTCATGATATGCTACTAAGAAGATGCTATGTTTTACTGCAGCAGAGGCTTTCAAGTGTTGCAATGAACGAAAAATTGATACCATTGCCTCTTCCTTTTCAAGCTCAGAATTCAGCTCTCCCATGCATGTAATTCCACTTTTTAGATCCTTGGCAGCAGGAATTCCCAGCCCACAATTCTCTGAAAGTGTAAGTGACCCTTGCTCTTTATGTTTAACTGCACTAATAGAATAGAATCGGTCAAGTGATTGTTTCTATGTTAAAGAAAAAGGAGCTGCAGTAAAAAACAATGGTTGGATAACTTCATCCAAAACTTGAGAGTTTATGGAGAGTTATAGAAATCTGTCAGTCAGAAGTAGCAGTGTCTTGTTCAAAAATGAAAATCGGGTCCTTTTCACTCTCCCCCTCCCTTCATTATTCCATTTCCTCCCATCCAGCCAATAAATCGAATTTTTGCTGCTGGTGCTTGCTGTAGTATCCAATTACAGGAGAGAGTATTAGATGGGAGAAACTTTGATAATGGACTAACGCTAAGAGATTTTGCAGTCTACTGCAGCATCCTAGTCCTGGAAAGGCTTCGGAAGGAGGGGAGAGAGAACGGTAGGACACAGAGAGGGCATAGGGCCAATTTTTCTATTTATGAAAGTTTAAGGATTCAATTTTTACAATTGAGGTTTGGTTCCAATTCTTTTTTGGCTTATTGAAGTTGGTGGGTCTAATTTTTACATTAAAAGTTAGTGTGTCGTAACAATCATGGTTGTTTAGGAGTGGTTTGTGCAATTTGCTCCATAAGTTAATAATTAACATCATTAAACTCCTAACAAAATTAAAGCAACGTGAAAATTTGCTGTAGTTTAAGAATTTTCAGCCGAAACTCTGTTCTTGTTTAGATAAATCCACTTCTTATCTTGAAGTGGTTCAGATTGATAATGGTTGTCAAACTAGGGCAAGTGAAGATAGAACGGGAGAGAGGAAATGCAAGTAGGAATATTGACTAAAAGTTTATATTGATGACGACTACACTGAATAAGGGGTATATATATGGTTCGGTTTACTATATATAGTTTTACCAGATATAAAACTTACCATATATAGGCCCTCAAACCCTATGTGAAGATAAATTATATGGATCTATATATATAGTTTTACCATACATAACCATTTATTATATGTAGCTATCTACCATATATAGGTCCTCAAACCTAGGTGAAGATTGGACATGGCTTCCTATAGATGACTTCTAGTATGTAGCAAGGAGAAATATTCACTAAGGGTTTATATTAATGACTTCTAGTATGTATGGCAAGAGAGAATAAAAAAAAGGCAGATGAACACAAAGAATAGGAAAAAGAATATGCAAGGAAGAATATTGACTAAGGGTTTATATTGAAGACTTCTAGTATGTATAGCAAGAGAGAATACAGAAAATGCAGAAAGTATGTCTTCAAAACACTGCCTAAAATATATATATGGTTCAGTTTACTATATATATTCATCTACTATACGTAACTATGTACCATATTTAGTTTCATACCATATTGATAGGGACTATTTACTTTTTATTAAACTTACCATGTATAGATCTTTACTCTCTATAACATTACTTAAGCTCTTATAACATTAAGTAAGCAGACTCCCTAGCCTAAGAGATAGTTTAAAATGGAAAACCTGAACACTGACTATCCGAGCATAGTCTCTTCGTTAAAGAATATCGGGTCAGCAGCAAATAAATTTTGCTACCCAAAACTACTTTATCCGCTTTGAAGCGTTGCTATCCATAGATATTGAACATTGTATGCATATAAGTATAAAATGTCAGCTGCTATAGTAAATGTTAAAGCTTAAGCCTGATTCATGCTGAGATTTGTTTTCTATATTACCTCTCAATTGTTTTGTTTTGTTTCTTCTTTTTTTTCAGGAAAGGAGTTTTCTTCTTAAAACACTGGGAGTGGAGTCACCTTCCCTTAACCCTAGTGTTAATCCTTCACAACCACCACCCTGCAAAAGAGCCCTTCTCCAAAGTCTATAAAACCTCTCTAATCATCCCACACACAGAGTCTGTATTATCTAGGTTCAAAATTCAGTCTTTTTCTTTCTTTCTTTTGAATTAAATTCCATTGGTTTGCAGCCATTCCGGCCTAAAATTTTTCATGGTGGCATGTTGATATCTGCATTCCATGACCCGTGTCTCGAATGTTATGGAGCATTCTGACACATCGGGACACGTACAACCGCGTGTTCCACATTCTTTTTTTCTTTTCTTTCCCTAGGTGGGGTTTCTCTAATAGTAACGTCCGAACCAGTGTGCTTGGTGTGTCATTTTTCCAGTCCTTGCAATGTGATTCTTAGTGTCCCAGTTTTTGTAGCTTGATTTCCCACATGTACATAACTTCTAGATACATTTATAGACATTCAGAGAGTAAGCATGCTTTGGCCGCATGCTTACTGCCCTCCAACAAAAAGTGATCGAGGGAAGCAGATAGCAAAAAAAGGAAGAAAGGAAAAAACTGATGAAAACAAGAGGATAACCAGTTGGGGTGGTTTCCTGTATACTTTTTATTTTTGGTGTGCAGAGGTATAGAATCAGCTTCTTTTTTTTTTTGGTTCCTTACCTGATTTTTGATGCAACAAACATAAATATGATTTGAGTGGAATGTGTTTTGTTGTTGGTGTGCATTGATCCTTCTACTCTTCTCTTATGCCCCTGGATTTTGAACAGAATAGCAACCAGTTAAGTAACTCCCAATAAAGATACAGAGAAAATGACGCAAAAATCTCTCTGTCTGTCTGATTATCCTTCTCAGTTGGAACTATGAAAACCTCAAGTAAAACAGAAGAAAGTGCAGGAAAAACCCTGTGTAAGTGGTTAATTTGTAAGAGCTTTGTTGAAAACAACACACGAAATGAGAGTTCAAATACATTTGGGGGGTTGGGATAAGACAAATAAAAGACAGACACTGGAGAGAATTTTGTAAGCTTATACCTCATGTCTCGGGCCCTGGCGTGAGACTGAAAATTGAAACGAAGTCGACAGTGCAGGGAAGAAGGGTGTGTGTGTTAAATTCAGATGGTTGGGGGCGGATTTGCAGTGGTGGACAAAGTATAATAATGACGAAAGTCAAAAAGTGGATGTTGAAAAGAGGAGGGAACTACCTACAAAATAAAGGGTCACTTATTGCTATCAACTTTCTCGAGGAACAAGGCTAATTTTGAATTTTGTTTCCAGCAAAGTGGAAAGATCATCAACGTTCTACTTACAACACCTTCATGTTATTTTTGTTTATTTTATACTTTGTCAGAACAAAATCTAGCTACACAGTAACAAACTATATTGCACAACTTTTTTACTGGTCATATGATATATCATGTTATACCATATTATAACTGTAACAAACTATACTACACAACATTGATACACACAACTGATTATTCCGATTTCTGTTTCTTTCTACATTGACTTTGTAGATTGAAGTGTAGATCCATCAAGGACACACTACTCAAAATATCATTCGTATGTATATCCTCACCAGCTAGATGTTATCTTCAAGTTCCAAAAAAAAAAAAAAAAAAAAATGAAAATCAGATACATCTTCATGGAGGGAACTTCCACTGGTCCCTCGCTCCCGAAGCCTGATTACAGAAAATTAAAGAAAAGGCAGAGTCAAAACTTGGTTTATACTTCTAAAGCACTCTATAAATCTACATCCATGAATATTCCAGATACCCTCTAATTCAAGGACCATTGAACCTTTGGTTACAATTGATTTCCTACTTAGGTGGTCTTTCTCTTTCGCTGCAACTTTTGCAGCTTCCTCCACTTGAGGTAAATTTGATATGATAACCCTGAGAAGACCATTACAACGCAGCCCCACTGCTTCGACGACAGAGGGTTTCCACTGAGCACAGAGGACACCACAATGCTGACAAACTTGCGAGTTGTGGTGATGGTGGTATTAGCAAGGGAACCGAATCGGCTGATTGTTAGGAAGATAAAATTTTGGCCAACTGCTCCACAGAGACAATACAGAAGAATGTCCCAAGCTGCTTCAGGATGCTGTCTGCAGAATTCTATGGCATGATATCCAGTACCATGCGGCCACCCAAACATATAGATCACATTATATATAGTACCCCAGAGATTCATTCCCAACATTATGTCCCATGCACTTGTTTTTGTATACCTGCAGAATTGATGACGAATATATGACCATACGTAAACATAATTGATTTAAACTGTTGAACAGCATAAAGCTTCTGAGGACTATGACAAGATAAATACATCAAAACATCACCTTGCTGAAATGGAATACTATGACAAGATAAATACTATGTAATAATGTAAATCTTCAACATGATACATTCGTATAAACTAATCGTGCACAAGAAAGGAAGATTCTGACGAAAGAAAATAATCCAAGTGTTATTCTCACCTTGCTGAAATGGAATCCTGAGTGGCATTCGTGAAACCATCAAATGCAAGGTTCAGGAAGCAAAGCCCATAGCCAAGGGGTGCATTAGGATGTGCCAACTTGCTGATAGTCTTTGAGCTAGTCTGGAATTAACATAAGCATAAATAACAAAAATTTAGAGAGAAATTGATGATAGAAAAACGAGAAGCAAGAAGATTTGAAAAGGAAAAAACCTTTAAGAGAGCAAATGTAGATACTCCTCCAGCAACCAGAAAGGTACACAAAAATTCTGGAAATGTGTATTTAATACCATAAACTAGCGTACCCATCAGCATCACTGCATAAGCAAATACAAAGATTCAGATGAAGGAATACGTACATAGATCATCAATTTCAAGTATTGTTTTCATAACCTCTTTTTCCATGATTTTTTTATTTACCATGAAAGTAACAGTATACTACCCTCATATTAAAGTGGAGTAAAAAATATTATTATGAGGATCTCATTTGTCTAACCTGGAATCATTTTTGATGACTTTGCCAGGACCTGCAGAAATGGACAACATAATTCATAAGCTAGATCAAATATTCACACATTGTTTTAGTTGCCGCTCATTGTTTATTTAGTACTCACACTCATCCCTAGCAGAAACTATCATTTATACATTCATCCCAGGGGTTTATAGTCAGTCAGGGAAATCTTGATTGATTAAATTTAGAAAATTATAGAGCCACAACAGAAATAAAAAGGTTAAACAAGTAAATATGGGTATCATTTGAAACATGCCTGGGCAGGATAGCTTATATACTTCAAAGCTTCAATTCCCATAGCTGGTCCAATAGTATTCGTAATACCAGCACTCCAGTATGTCCACCAAGGTGCACCACCAGTGATACGACTGGACCAGAGCTTTATCACTGTTTATGATGCACAACCAGCTTAGTTCTTTTGACCACAGCACAAAATATTTTTTTCTTTTAAATCCGTACGATAATGGAAGGTACATAATAGAATAGATTTGGTAAGAAGTCGAGCCAAGAGAAACTCACTTATATATGACCATATTAAACAGACAACATTTTGTGCCAGGTTAAGGAAGGAAAGGTGTTCAAATCTCTTTCCGTCGGAACCAAAGCGTTTAGTGGACCTAAAGAGAAATGAAAAACGACTTAAAATCATGAAAATGGATTTGAATCCGTCGGTGAACAAAGCAATAACAATGAGGATGCTCCTCCAGAACGTAATTTTTCCCAAGAGAAAAAATGGGTTTCTTGGGATCAAGTTCACGGAAAAAGACAGTAGGCAGAACGACTACTAGTCCTGAAATCCTATCATTAGAAAAAGAACCCGAATCTTGGATACTAAATCCCAGCATTTTCTGAAACATACGCACTAATGTTAATCTCCCAAAAGATGCAGAAATCTTAAGGTAAGAATATAATGGCGAAGAAATCTTGAAGAAGTTGCATAACGAATAAGTGCAACATCCAATTCCACGGAAAAGTTACCCAGATTGCCCTGGATAATGGGCAGTTACTGTTCGCAAGTAAATTCAACAGAATCAACTTGCTTTCCAACAAAAAATACAAAAAAGAAAGTCTAATATGAAAAATCTGAAAACAAAGCTTATGCTATAATAAGAATCCTCAGGAAGATATCAACAACAGACATTCGCTCAAAAGAAAGTAATAGTAAATAAATCATAACGAACAAAAAAAAACTTACAGAGTCTCCTGAAGAACGCCTTGGTAAATATAAGCGGACCAAATCCCGGCGACGCAAAAGGCGAGCACGAACACGCGGCGGAATCCACTGCCATGAGCTTCCATTCTCAGCCCTTGATGTCGCCGGAGAGACTAGATCCAGGAAAAGAAATCGAAATTGCAGAAATATGCAAGAGAAAAAATTAATTCAGGCAGGAAAAGAAAAATGGCCAAGAGCTGAAATGGAGAAGAAAAAAACTACCCGAGTGCGCTTCAGGGAAGCGAATTATATTGGAAGGTATTCCACGTGGAGCACTTTTATTGGTTGAGTGACTCAACGTCGCACCTCTGATTGGTTGAATCGACGCGGATCTTTTTAACGGAATAGAAGACTTGTAAAGACAACGGCAAAAGCTCGACTTGGCGCCGCGCCGTTAGAAGCGTGGAATTCAGAACTCCAATGGCGCGTAATGGAGCTACAGATTACGGAAGGCCACTACGACGTCTCTTTTACGATACGACGTTTCAACCTTTTGCTAATTTGACGACATGTCGCTTACGTCCATCCGCCGAAACGACGCGTTTCAGTTTTCACTATGCTTTTGGGCTTGTAGTCAGGTCACTAATGGGCCATTATTTTCCTTTTTCCTATTTTTGCCAAATATATTTTGGGTGTGTACAATTTAACATAAAACAGCAAATCTAACCCAATTAAAAGTATTTGTAAATATGAAATAATTTCAAGCTAGAGGAAAATGCAAGTTTGGTATCGTAAGCAGAATGAGATTAGCCCCACCAAATTGGAGTTCCCGATTGAATCGTTGAAATGGCATTAACCTCGATCTAAGACCAGAATTGAAGGATAGAAGGAAGCTTGCCTGAGAAAGATGCCAAAATACATACTATAGACCAGAGTCTAAATTGAAATAGACCATAGTAGTAGTTCATCTTTATAAACCAAGCAAGCATCATTATCATCCATAATACGCAAATTACACAATAAATCGGTTTTCTTCCCAGGTGGAATATCATGCAAACAAGTCATCACTCGACTGTCTTTTCTGTTCGTTCGCCTACACAACCATTTTGTGGCTAATCAGCAGTCCAACTCTGTTCCACGATCTCACGTACTCTCCTATTGTAATCACGCTTGTTCTCGCTAAACATCCGGGCAGCTTCAGAATTAGCAGGTGAGTTTGGATTGGGGTCGCACAGCAACGACTACAACGGAAAACGTTATTGGGATTAAAAAACAAACAAACGAACGAACAAACATTGAGCTTGCAAATAAAAGAAAAGCACCACCGAGCCATTTAACCCTAAATTCCACAAGTCATTTTTCCATTACTGACAACAATATTATCACATACTCAATCTCCACACCAAATAATTCCGCAGATAATTCTTTATCTCACAAACCTACGTTCCTTTCTCCCTTTTCTAGGAGGGCAGTAGTATACTTGCAGTGTTGGATATTTTAATGGTATCATAAAAAATTATAGAATATCGATAATGGCTACAATTTCTTAAGTAGGTCTCAAATTCCAATCAGATAATCAGGCAAGATAATTCCAGTTCTTTATACTTTTTTTTTTTTTGTTTTGTTTTTTTTTTTTTTTTTTGTTTTGTTTTGTTTTTTTTTTTTTTTTTTGTTTTGTTTTGTTTTTTTTTTTTTTTTTTGTTTTGTTTTGTTTTTTTTTTTTTTTTTTGTTTTGTTTTGTTTTTTTTTTTTTTTTTTGTTTTGTTTTGTTTTTTTTTTTTTTTTTTGTTTTGTTTTGTTTTTTTTTTTTTTTTTTGTTTTGTTTTGTTTTTTTTTTTTTTTTTTGTTTTGTTTTGTTTTTTTTTTTTTTTTTTGTTTTGTTTTGTTTTTTTTTTTTTTTTTTGTTTTGTTTTGTTTTTTTTTTTTTTTTTTGTTTTGTTTTGTTTTTTTTTTTTTTTTTTGTTTTGTTTTGTTTTTTTTTTTTTTTTTTGTTTTGTTTTGTTTTTTTTTTTTTTTTTTGTTTTGTTTTGTTTTTTTTTTTTTTTTTTGTTTTGTTTTGTTTTTTTTTTTTTTTTTTGTTTTGTTTTGTTTTTTTTTTTTTTTTTTTTTTTTTTTTCCTTTTGAATAGGAGGCGTGTTCTTTATACTTGATCCTAAATGTCAAAAAATAATAAACTAAATCAATAAATCAAAAGAATCTAAACTGTCATATGCCACGAATTCAGAAAATAAGAACAAAAATTGAAGGAATGAGTGCTCTTATGGCATGGCTAGTCAGTGGCAACGGCAAGTGTATTAATTAAATTCTTGCGTGCACAGCCAATTCCATAAATAAGTTACAATGGGCATCATGAGGACACATGAACCATATGCGTGCTACTTCTAGGATAAGGCATAGTACAGGAGCAGTGGCATGCTTTTCATTTGTGATAAAAAGAGCTATTAATCATACATAAATAAAAAATACGCTTGACATTTATTAAGGTTAAATCAATTAGGAATACCTGAATAGAGGTGAGTATAGCTGCTACATCGTAGATTGGGCTCCATTGATTTTGTAGAATGTCCAAACAAATGCTTCCATCAGCATAAACTGAAGGCAATGGAAAAGGAAAACGCACAAACAAAGTGTAGGCTTAGAAACATGTACAGAACAAATTAAGAATAAAATTGTCACAATTGACAATGTACCCTAAGATAAACATTTACTTTGTCTTTTGACCAGATAGTTATACTTTCTCTCTCTTGCCTTCCAATCATAAAAATCATCCAGGCCCAAGTCAAACATACCCATACATATCAAACATAACACGTCTGAGTTCATATAAAAGTTTGATGAAGGAAACACAATAGACTACTTTTTATTTGTAAGAAAAAGAAAACAACCTATGCACAATATGAAAAATATACAATGAAATTGGGTAAGCACAGCATATAAACATAGTAAGCAACACTCTCTTAACAATAAGTAGCTGGAGAAAGAATCTACAGGAGAACTAGGCATCTTCTTAACCCAGTGCCAATGGAGACTATAATAAGCTCTCAAATTGACCCAGAATGAACCACATAACGCATAACTTGTTTGTAAAGGGCACATTCTTTGATATTGTGAACTTACTATTAGGGTGGAACATTCTGGACACAAAGCGAACTGTTGGTGGCTTATTTGGATAATCCTCCGTGAACTGAAGGGTCAGCTTAAACGTACCTGGTCAACACTCAAAAAAAGGGTAGCCAAATTACAATTCATAAACTACATGAGGAGTTCATAAGAAAAAAATACTTGTGGAAAAATACCAAAATAAGATGCAAAATTAATTGAAATTCTCAGAAAAGTAAACAAGATGCTAATGTCCATTTCAGTGTTTAGAAAAGAACACCAGAATACACAGATCCTCCAGAATACATTCCCATAACTCGCACCAGGAAGTATGAAAGCAACTTAACATTTTGAATTTAAAGAACCAGGAAATCACAACCAGACATTTAGAAAGTTCTAATTATTCTTTGAATTCTCCACCAGAAAATACAACACACATCCATATCCAAACAGTAAAAAGCTTAAAAAGAAGAACATGTAATACAAACAAAATATCATGCAAATCAGGACCCGATAATTTTAAAATTGACAAATCAATTTAACTGTACAAAGCTAATAGATATAAAGCAAACATACACATCTACATAGCTGCAGTGAAAAAAGATCCTCATTAGTAATAGTTTTGGACAGAAAAACAAAGTGAAACCATCAAAGAAGAAATGAGTACATTACTATAGAACTTGATCCTAATACAACGCTGTTTATTCTAAATAAGAAAAATAGGCCAAGAAAGGCAGAAGTTAAGAATACCTCCATCCCAAGGTGTATCATCTGGCCTGCAAAAGCCAACAAAAAACAATCAAAGACCAAAGCATCAGTAGTCAAAGAAACAATTGCCCTGCACAAATTCTGATAAGAAGAAAGAACAAGGTCATTATTTCTTTTCCCAGCTTACCCAAATATGACAGCATTCCATAGCATGATATTATTGTCTAGTGGAGCACCACTGATGCCAGCAGGTGGATCTTGCTGCAACCTCCTGAAGTCTCTCATCAGTCTCTTCCTTGCAGGAGTAGACATCCTCACCGGCTAAAAATAGACCAAGACAACAATCTTAGCTTCAATTGTTAAAAATGCATATGGCCAATGCAGAAAAATGAATAAGGACCGTTAAAGAAGGATACAAAAGATGAAAATTCAACCACGTGAAAGTTAGATGAGGGACATGAAACAAGTTCAATCAAATGAGAAGGAGGTGCCTCTATCTTCCATGATATCACCATAACGAAAAGAACAATGGAGAACTTCAATGGCGCTTTTTAAGTAAATTAAAATTGCAGGTCTAAAATGAAGTCCAGACTCTAGAGCATACGTCCACATGAACCCAATGGATGCAGAAGGAGGAGATACCATTTAATTCCATTTACAGGACAAACAAGAACATAAAAGAATCTCCTTCGATACATAATTCAATCCGGAAAACATAGTAGCTACTACAAACCCGTGCCTTAACAAAATTAACACTCAAGCTCTTGGACGTCAATAAACCCTTTCCCGTACCCTTCTCATGAAACAAAACCCTAGATCTCTCTCCTAAACTGCTGGATAGACACAGATTACAATTCCTAACAAATTAGGGCGAACAAGCTTTTAACACCTCGGTATTAGCACAAGTACAACCACGTCGACTACGTCGAAGACAAAGGCCAGTAACACCACGGTGATCGACGAATCGGAGACAAAATTAACAAAGAGCGACCAAAAAAGACAATAACTCAAAAAACTAAGATGATCGAAATCCCTTACCCGTAACCGAGCTCGGCGAGCCGATAACTTCGGCTGATCTCGATGGATGATTCAGAAACAAAATGAAAGAAAATCCCGAGCACTTATCTCGACTGGTTTTACGAAAGGTACTCGTCCACAAGAGATCTCCACCGGTGACCAAAACACGATAAGAGGAGAGAAGGCAGGAGATAACCCAAATCTTGCTTATATTGAATTGAAATCAAATTTCACAAAAGAAAAAAATAAATAAATATTATAGAGGAAAATGAGTTGGCACGTGCGAATCTGCAGTGCGGTAATTTTGTAGTGTTCGTTATTATTTTATTTGGTATTTGTCCGAATTTTTAGCGCGTACATTAACAGGAAGCCGCCTTGGCCTCCCATCTCCAATGATTAAAAGCACTGTTCAGTCCAAGATTTTTCTTTTTCTTTTTACTTTTCTTTTTTATTTAAATACGTTTTTTCTTTTTCCTTTTTATTTTTTATTTCTTTTTCATTTGAATGGTCATCGTACGTTTTACGCAATTGTCGCTTTCCTTTAATATTATTCTTTCTTCAGCTTTTCTAATTACCCTATCTCATCTCATGATGAGCTATTTGAATTTTTTATTTGATGTAAAACTTGTTTTGAAATTATAAACCTGTCATTGGGAACAAAATAAGTAGACTGTGTCCAAAAAGAAATATATAAAAACTTCTTATAGTGTAACATAACACATAAAATATTATTATACGAGTATTGATACAGCTCGCATTTTACCCTTGCTTAATTAAAAAAAAAAATCAATAAATAAAGAGGAAATAAAAGGATTCTAAGGTCCTTGCTGTCTAAGCCGGCAGTACAGTTTGGTACACAGAATGACAAACATCACGTGTAGTCTATATTATTAATCCCTGATCCTCCATAGCTTTTCATCGTATTGGTAAGCACCCCAATTGAAGATGTGTAATGATGGCACTTGTCTGGATCAAAAGGTCGGAATTAAAGGATAGAGGAAAACTTAGGTGAGAAAGATGCAAAAGCCAGACCAGAGACAAATTGAAATAGACTAAAGCAGTTCATCTTAATAAACCAAGCAAGCATATCACATAATACGCAAATTACAAAACAAATCAGTTTTCTTCCCAGGTACACAATATCATGCAAACAAGCCAATCGACCATCTTTTCTGTTTTGTTCGCCTACAACCATTTTGTGGCTAATCAGCAGTCCAGCTCTGTTCCACAATTTCACGAACTCGCCTGTTGTACTCACGCTTGTTCTCGCTAAACATCCTAGCAGCTTCAGAATTAGCAGGAGAGTTTGGATTGGGGTCGCAAAGCAGCGACTGCAAAGGAAAACATTAATGGTATAAAAACACAAAAGGTTGATAAAATTTCCAAAACACCTCCATCCCAAAGTGTATCATCTCTCAACTAAAGGATGCAAATTAAGATTAAGCCATAAACAAAGAAGAGTGGCAGTGACAAACAAAGACTCCCAAATAACCGAACCCAGGGCCCACTATTGCAAAACAAATTTCTTACCTTGGAGGATAATGTGTCTTCATCCATTAGTCAATCATTTTTTATTGTTCACCTAGTTTCCCACCCATATTTTCCACTAACCCCACTCTTCCACCATTTTTCCCCCATGAAGATCCCTGCTCCTTTGACTTTTCCAGTGTGTGACTGCTAATTTTGACAAATGTATTACTATTCTCACAATACATGGCTCTCGATGCCATTTAAACTAAAACTCTAACCTTCAATTCCACTTCCCTCCCTATCAACACCATTTTGAATAAAGCTAAAATCCTTGACTTTTTGATGCCTCACTACCACGTAAATATTTAGATTCATTTAAATTCGAAAGTTAATAGCATATTTATGCAGTTTTGAAACAATTTTAAAGGTTCAGTTAGAATATGACTTGGAGATAATAAGAACATAACTAAAACCTATTCAAAAGTCAAAGGGCATAATTGAAATCTGTCACTTATGCTCATGTACCTTATTCTATATACGACCATATCATATTTCTGTGTTCATGTTAACAAAAGAGTTGGCAGAAGGGATGTTTCCAAACAATTCAAAGGTCAAAAATGAAACTTATAAAACGACATGGTCAAAATTGAAACCTACACTGAAATTCTAGGGCATTATGTTTTTAGTTTTTTTTTTTTTTTTTTTTTTTTTCCTAAAAGAAAAAATGAGTGAATCAAACCTATCATGTGTTGCTAATTCAAAAATCAAGGACAAAAACTACAAGAACAACGCATTTATGCATGGGTCAGCAGGGAGAACAGGCTTACAACTAACCGCCTGCTCAATAAGCTAGTTTCATCAAAATTTAATGCAATAAACATCCAGAGGACACATGAACCTTATGCATTCTTCAACAAAGGTTGGGCATAGTACAGAGGAGGCAATGGCAGGTTTCATTAACTGACTATAATTACATTATTTACATCTTATAAAATGATAAAAGGAGCCTGCCGATAATATAGCAAGAAAAAATTTCATCCTTGACAGACATTAAGGTCAAATTGATTAGGTGGTACCTGAATAGAGGTGAGTATAGCGGCTACGTCATATATTGGGCTCCACTGATTTTGCAGAATGTCCAAACAAATGCTACCATCGGCATAAACTGAAGGTGATTGCAAAAGACAAATGAGCAAAATAAAATAAAATAAAATAAAATAACTAAGCAGCTCGTACAGAAAATAATTTAAAAACAAAATTGTCACAACTTACGTTGCAACCTAAGATAAATATTTACTTTGTCATTTTACAAGATAGTTGAACTCTTTTTCTCTGAACTTTCACATATTAAAATCACCCATCCATATCCAAGCCCAACATAGCATACATATCAAGCATTGCAATTAGGATTTATAAAGGTTTGATGAAAGCAGAAACGATAATATTAGAAGATGGTTTTTTTTCCATTTCTTAGCAAGAGAATTATATGAGCACCAAAACACACACATTGAGCTACATTGTATTAACAGAAAATAGTAGAGAAAAAAACGTACAGTAGAACTAGCCATCCTCATAAAACCTAGTGCCAATGGAGATTACAAAAAGCCCGCAAATTGACCGAGAATGAATCAAATCATAAAATATTTGTTAAGGCCACATTCCTGGGTTGTGAACTTACTGTTAGGGTGGAACATTCTAGAAACAAAGCGGACTGTCGGTGGCTTATTTGGATAATCCTCAGTGAACTGAAGGGTAAGTTTGAACGTACCTGGTCAACTCAAAAAAAATGATTACCAAATTACACACCATACACAAGAAATTCAGAAATATATTTAATTAAGAAAACTACCAAATTTGAATACAAAATTAACTAAAAATTTCAGAAAATCAAACGACAAACAAGATGCCAATATCCCTTTCACTAAAATCTCACGTTTAGAAAAGCACTGCATAATACATGGATCATTCAGAGTACATACCCGTACATTGCATCAGGAGAGATGAAAATAACCTGACTTTACAAAGTCAAGAGCCCCAAGAAGACAATAAATGGAATTTTAGAAGTTATAATTATTCCGATTATCCCCCCAGGAAATACAATGCACTCGCTATATCCAAATAGTGGAAAGAGCTTGACAAGAAGATCAAGAGACGTGAAGATACAAACTATCATTCAAATAATTAACTATATAGCAAAAAAAATATCTACATAATTGAGAAAAGTTAAAATACTATTGTATATATTGTAGTACACATGCATCAATATCATTAATTATTTGTAGTTTTGGATAGAAAACAAAGTGAAATCGTCAAATAAGAGAGAGGTAAATCATTAGAAGACTCGGTTCTAATAACAACACTGTTGTCTTCTTAATTAGTCATAAAGGACCAGAAATTGAGAATACCTCCATCCCAAGGTGTATCATCTGGCCTGCATAAGCCAACGAAGTAACATGTAAGTCAGTTAGCAACAGAAGCAATGATGGACATGTAAAAAAAATTCTGATAAGAAAAAGGAAAAAAAGGGTCGTACCCGAATATAACAGCATTCCATAGCATGATATTATTGTCTTGGGGAGCACCACTGATGCCAGCAGGTGGATCTAGCTGCAACCTCTTGAAATCTCTCATCAGTCTCTTCCTTGCAGGAGTAGACATCCTCACCGGCTGAAAATAAACCAAGAGAACAATTTTAACTTCACTTTCTTCAGCACTCGCATGGCCAACGCAGAAATAATGAATATGCTCAATCTGAAGATGAAAAGATACCGTTTGAGTATTCAAAATATATAAAAATTCACGCCAAGTGCAAGTTTGATGAAGAACAAGAAACAACCTCGATCGTCAAACGAGAAGGGGATTAAATGGATGGAGAAGTGGTGGAACTGTTTAATTTCATTTAAAGAACAAGCAAGATACGAGGAAATGTCGTCGAGACACATTTCAATTCGGAAAGCTAACTACTAGATATTACAAACCCGTGCAGTAACAAAACAAAATAGTTAACGCGTTGCACGTCAATAAATCTTTTCCCATACTGTCGCCGTAATCAAAACCCCTAGATCTCTGTCCAAATCTGCTAGCCAGACAAGCAGAATACATCATCTAACAAATTAAGGTGAACAGGTCTTAACCTCGGTATGGGAACACATGCATCCACGCGACAACCACGTCAATAACATCGAAAACAAAAACCAGTGACACCATGATAATCCACGAATCGAAGACAAAATTAACAAGGCAACCATGTAGAAAAGAATTCAAACAATTAAGATGATCGAAACCCCTTACCCGTAACCTAGCACGGCGAGATCCTTCACTTGATCTTGATGGACTCAAAAACTAAATCAAAGAAAAATCCCGATTTCAATCCTCAAACGGTTCACGAGAAGGAATCGTCGATGAGAGACTTCCCCAGTGGCCAAAACACGATTAAGAGACTAAAAGAGGGAGAGGAGAATCGAGTAGTGCTTATATTATTGCATTTGTCCCACCAAAATAATAATAATAATAATAATAATAATAATAATAATAAAGACAATAAAAGATAAATTGTAGAGGAAAATGAATTACCACGTGCCAATCAGCGATGTGCTGGTAATTTGCCATTTTGGCCGCCCATTTTGCGCGTAAATTAACGTGGCGCCGTCTTGCCCTCCCATGATTATTTGTAAGGGATCTCTAATCTGTAAGTTGTTATGATCTAGAGGTGATATTAAAAAAATAAATTACTTAATTTTAAAATAATATTTAGATTTTTTTTTCTGATGGTTAAAGATTATGTTTATATTAAAATTTAAATTTTTAAAAGTTAAGTTGGTAAAACATGTATAATATATATAAAAGATATTGATTTATTATGATTTTTAATAAATATTATATTAAAATATGAAAAATTTAAAATAATTATCTTTTTTAAAAAAAACAATAAACCGAAATAATATAGGAAATCTATGATTTCTGTAAATAAATAAATAAATGAGAAATTTAATGGAGATAAGATAGGGACGACTTTATATACATAGTGGACATCGTTTCATATACCTAATGCACAACATAAAAATTAAAAATAATAAAAAACTTTATAGGAAAAATGTTTGATAAAAACTAAAATCCGTAGATAAGGAAAGGCTTAATAAGATTATTTAACATAACTCAGAGACCCACTTGAATTACTTATGGGATAATAAGTTTAATATGGATTAAAATCTCACTTCAACTTAAAATATTATATCAAACGTCCTGAAATGAAATTAACCCGGTTATCTTATTTCTTATGCTTAACTATCTGTCGGACTTCCAAGTAATGATTCCCTCGTTAATGGAGGTGTTATTTGTAATTTTCATTATGCTTTTTCATCGAGCTCTTGCTGTTGTGCATTCAGAATTTGAGTGCATGTTCCACTCCAACCTCATAACATGATCTCCCCGCAAGAGCGGTGGAAAAAATTTGATGTTCTTGCTCTTGAAACTATTTTATTAGCATATTTGAACCCACGAAACACGTTAACCTGAAAAATTAGATAACATTAACATTTGAGCCGTCAGTAAGGATCTTAAATTTTTATAGCTGAGACAAATTATTGGAATTTATCTAAATGATTAGGTAACATTTAATAGGATTGTCCTCTCTTTTGTAAAGCTTGTTTAACTACTTAAATAAATAAGAAAAGTCGAACGGACCAACGTAAACGAGCGTTGGAAGGTAACAAGTCTACAACTGGTTAATAAGCTCGATCGCTTGTGCTCCGATCAAATCCCATGAATCGCGAAATAGTGCGATTGGTGGCCAAAGGATTTTACGTTGAAGCATTCTCCATGTACTCGCAGCACCACTCAGCCTCCCTTAGTTCTCACAATTTCATTTTTCCTCCTCTCTTCAAAGCGTGCGCAAAGCTTAACTCGGTTCCACAAGGCCAAATGCTGCATACCCACTTGATGAAAGTGGGGTTTTCAGCAGACGTCTATGCAGCAACAGCCCTCACGGATATGTATTTGAAGCTTTTTCATGTTGATGACGCTCTGAAAGTGTTCGACGAAATGCCCCACAGAAACACGGCGTCTTTAAACGCAATGATTTCTGGGTTTCTGTTGAATGGTTTTCGTGGAGAAGCGTTACGGATGGTTGAGCTTGTGAATCGCGGTTCATTAAAGCCCAATTCAATTACCATTGTTAACTTACTGTCAGCATGCGCAAGTGTTGCTCATGGGATGCAAGTACATTGTTGGGCTATCAACCTGGGTTTTCAAATGGATGTATATGTTGCTACGGCGCTTTTGACGATGTATTGTACTTGTGAAAAAATGGGTTTCGCTGCAAAGGTATTCCAAGAGATGTCGAACAAAAACGTGGTGAGTTTTAATGCTTATATTTCAGGGCTTCTACTGAATGGCATGCCCCGTATGGTAATTGATGTATTTAAGAGCATGATGGAACGCCCACCTGGGAAATCGAATTCCGTCACACTGGTTTCTGTCCTTTCTGCTTGTTCTAGTCTTTCACATCTTGGATTTGGTAGGCAGGTTCATGCACTCACTGTTAAAATTGATAATGATGATGTAATGGTAGGAACTGCACTGGTGGACATGTATTCTAAATGTGGGGCTTGGCAGTGTGCACACAATGTATTAAACGAGCGGAAAGGAACCAGTAACTTATTTACTTGGAATTCATTGATTGCAGGAATGATGTTAAATGAACAGAGTGAAATTGCAGTGGAACTTTTTGAATCGTTGGAGTCCCATAAATTGCAACCAGATTCAGCTACCTGGAACTCAATGATAAGTGGACATGCCCATTTGGGTCAGCCGGCGAAGGCCTTTAAGTACTTTCATAGAATGCAATCGGCTGGCACAGTCCCTAGTTTAAAATCTCTCACCAGTTTTTTATCCATTTGTTCAGACTTGTCTGCATTGCGACATGGCAAAGAGATCCATGCCCAAGTAACTAAACGTTTCATTCATATGGACGTGTTGCTTGCCACGGCACTTATTGACATGTACATGAAATGTGGATGTCTTTCTTCAGCACAGAGACTCTTCGATCAATTTGGCTTCAAACCAAAAGATACAATATTTTGGAACGCAATGATCTCAGGTTACGGGAACAATGGGGAGAACAAATCTGCGTTTGATATATTTGATCGGATGCTGGAAGAAGGAGTACATCCTAATGCGGCCACATTTACCAGTCTCTTATCTATTTGCAGTCATTGTGGTCAGGTTGACAAAGGTTGGCAGTTTTTCAAGATGATGAACAAGAAATACGACCTTCAGCCAGATCGTGATCATTATAACTGCATGATAGACATTTTGGGTAGAGCCGGCCAGTTGGGGAAAGCTCGAAAATTGTTGGAAGAATTGCCAGAGCCTTCTATGTCTTCTCTTGCTTCTTTGCTTGGTGCTTGTAGCTTGCACAAAGATTCTAAACTGGGCGAAGAAATGGCTTCAAGAATTTCAGAATTAGAGCCTAAAAATCCACTTCCATTTGTTATCTTATCCAATATATATGCTGAGCTTGGAAGGTGGAAAGATGTTGAAAGGGTTAGAGAAATGATGAATGACAAAGGATTGAGAAAGCCATCTGGCCTTAGTTCAATAGAATGACCTAAGAGTGTAAGTACATAAACCAAGTAATTAGTATACTTCTGGTGCCAAACCAGAACTCGCAACTCTTTTACAGCTTAAATATTTATGATTTGTAAGGAAAACTTATAAATATCACTGATTCAACATTTCTTCGGCAGAGAATCCAAAGTTGTTGATTATGTAGTTGGGTGGTTCAAAAATGAAGCACGAGATCACATCCCTTAGGGTGATGACCCCTACAACTTCGTCATCAGCAGCTACGACATAGATCCTGTGGACTGATTTGGAAGCAAGACTATGAATAACAGAGCCGAGAGTCGAATCGAGTTTGCATATGATTGGTGGGGCTAGTTTCCCAACATCTTGGATCAACATAACTACTGTTTTGATGAAATCCATAACAGTAAGCTTCCTGAAATCCAACGACAAAAGAAACATAAAACATTAATCAAGAAAAATGGCTTTTATAGCTTAAACACGTTTGATAATATAGAAAAACAGAAGGAATTAGCCCATACGAGCCATAAAAGAAAGTTCATTACCTCATTGGGGCATTAGTTTCTAACATAGTTAATATGCAATCCTTTCCACGTTTATTGATTTTCATAGTTGGCAGATACTAGAGCATTCTATAGTAGAAGGTCAAGTATGTGACTTAAAAACGTAATTCAACGTGCATAATGAAAAGTCCTGCCTCGTATCCTACCTGAAATTGGAGAAAATTTCAGGCTTAAGCAGCAAATATCTTATGTCTCTTATACTTATATTTCCCACAATTCTGTTCTTTGGCCCCTCGACAACTGGAAGCCCACCAATGTGATTATCTCTCATTCGCTTGAAAGCTTCCAGTATCAACTCTTGGCTTTGGATGGTAATAACCTGACCAAAAAGAGAACAGACAATTAAAGCTGTAAATTGTTACAAACCCAAACCAGTCATTATAAGTACTTGCCTCGTTACAAGACATGAAAGGAAGTCCTAAATCGGAAATAGGTCTTGCAGCTATACAGTCAAACCAGTCCCTTCCTCTACACCTTTCAAGACCCTGAACCACTGCAGATTGAGTTATGTAATTCTTGATGTCGGGTTTCCCTGGTTCGATGACAGGTACATTCCTCAATCTATATTTTGAGAGTAGCAATAAGACACCTAACATGGAATTATCTAGGGTCACTGGAAGAAATGGAGCCCAGCGGTAGGATTTCAATATTGACTGAACCTGGAACACATGAGTACATGATACCAAGGCTTGAAAATGAGTACATATGATATGAGGTAGTAATTTGGTTAGTTTGAGCAATAAAAGTCACCCTACTGGCATAGTTTAAGAGCCTACTGTTGTTGATTTGAATGGTTCTTCTTGCAGTAAGACTTTGTAAAAATCTTGTCCTAAACTATCAGCCGCTGTGGCAGCATCTTTACCGATTCCTCTGTCCACAGCAACTCCACCAGCCACAGCAGCTCCAACCGCCGCTGCAGCTATCCCTGCAACTGCAATGGGGCCTGTCGCGCCTAATGCCAATGCTCCAAGAGCACCAACTGCTCCTGCACCAACTCCAATAGCAGTAGCTGAACCAGCAGATAAGGAAGCTGCAGCAAGTTCCGCACTCTCCATCACCCACAAGATAATTGCCGAATAATCCACAATTCCAAGGTATCTTTCTCTCCAATTTATACTTGCTCTTGCATTTGGATTTGTTACAGGAGCTGATAAAATGTTGCACTCAGATAGAATCTTCACAGCATGAGGAATAGTTGTGTCTGCTGGAATCTCAATAACTGTAAAAAGTATATATTTTTTTCTTTTTATTTCTTCAACCCTCCTAGTAATTTGTTATGCATAAACATACGAAGGAAGTTATAAAATTGAAGTTGTTGTTGATACTCATTATTACCTCTGCCTACCGAAACTCCAGGAAATGAGGAAACTGGGATCCTGGCAAATGCATCATTCAGCGTCTCCTGTAAGAACTTTGGAAGTTTCTTCGTAGATTGGATGCGTTCGAAATAGGATTCGCAGTTTGACAATGCAGAATATCTAACCTCCTGTCCTTGTGCCATATGTTGTAAACTGGGATCCTGGGAAATGCATCATTCACTCCTACTTATGATTGAAACGTTTAAAAAACCATATAGATCAAACCTACCTCAGAAGATGCGCTTCGAAAGGCTCCTTAGGCTCTGTTGTGTATCATCAAATGAATTCAGGAATTAGATCAGAAGGTTCCCTCTCTTTAACTGGCCTGCAGGATTTATCGCTGATATCCCATCTTCCCGCCACGTCTCTGAATGCGACTCCGTCAGCTGCCACCAGCATTGAAATGGTCAGCACCTCCCTCTCTCTCTGGCTATGTAAGAAAGTCCCACGCATCGAAGGTTGCGTTGCGTTGGTCTTTTTTGCGGTCTGGTTTCGTCCTCTCGATCATATGGCCTTATAATTACACAATGTAAGCACATTGCAAAATTTTATTTTATGGAGGGGAATATGATGCTTCTTTTTAAATTTGAACCAGTAATTTTAAAATTATTAAAAGGGTATATTTGAGATTATGAAATTAAAAAAAATCATATATTTATCTTTAACCATTTTTATGTTCTAACGGAAGTATTTTGATATTTACTTAAAATAATAAATGAAAAAACAAACTACTAATAAAATAAAAGTATCATTTAAATGACTAAATTCTTAAATTTAAATTATAATCTTAAATATTAAAATGTCCAAAAAAATAAATCTAAAAAACCGATATATTATATGTAAAGGAAGTAAAAGAAATAACATTAATATATATTTAAGTGGCAACTCGTTAGTGACCTAATGTGAAAGACGGTTTTGTTGTGCATGATCAAACGGCGTCGTCTGGAAATAATTTTAATATTTTGTTTCATCGCCGACCAGTTCCAGTTAACATAGCATTCCGGGTATCCACTCCGGACTTAATTTTTTGTCCTTCTCCGAGCCCCCATTTCTCCTCCCTAGGGCTTCCGATTTGACGAACATCACTATGGCTATGACAACTGGAGTAGGCCTTTCGAAGATTCTGATTCTTGTTGGAGCTGGTATTTCAACTATACTTCTAATCTATTTAATTTATACGTTCATGCTGTTTATATGATCTAAAACCAATTTTTTTTCGAGAGTATGTCACATTTGTTAATGTTGTTATTGTGTTTGTTTTTACAGGCTACTCTAGTACGATCCTGCTTAAGAATGGTAAATTATCGGATGTGTTGGGTGAACTTCAGGTGTCGATTTTTCTTATTTTGGCTGTTTTTATTTTTCTGCTCAATTAGCTCCAATGTTGCGTGGCATTAGGAAATTTTTTGGGAAAGTTCCAAGATGCTATTGACTTTTTATCTGATTGGCGATGGAACGTTCGTGAAAGGTGTTTCAAATTATTGTTGTCATCGTTTATTTACGGTGGACTTCAATATCTCACTTTCTAGATTATTGTTGCAACGGAATAGCTTATTGGATGTCTCATAAATTTGCCCAAACAAGTCAAATGATAAACTAGGCTCAACAAAGCGTTGTAACATTTGTTTTGTTTCCCTATGAGTGACTGCATTTTCTATTGTTGTGCTTACAGTCCTTGGTGAAGGGCTTAGAGAAGTCTGGGGAACAATATGAGGGTGATTCTGACTACTCTGATGCCATTGCTGCTCAGGTGCTGATAAAATATATGCATTTTAAAGAGGTATTGTCCGATAGTTTTTTTATGTGGTTAATGAAACGTCTATCTGACTGTCGTGTAGGTGCGTCGATTAGCTATGGAAGTTCGGCATCTCTCTTCTTCACGACAAATTACTATTCTCAATGGAAACTCTGGGACTGTTGGCAAGTCAGCTTATTTTTAATCAATTCATTGGCAAATTGCATAATTTAAGAACTTTGATAATGTGCCAATAAATTGGATCGTTGCTTTCACTTCAAGGGTAATAGTTTTCTGTGCCATTGACTGCCTTTTAATCATTTATTTATTTTAACAGGTAATATATCATCTTTCATAATTCCAGCTGCTACTTTGGGTGCCTTGGGATATGGATACATGTGGTGGAAGGTAATGTTAGATTCTTTTTCAAGTGTTCTAAAGTTACTTTTTATGTGCCCAAAATTTAATGTCTTCTGTAATTTTCTCTCTCTCTTCACTTTTCTATCAATAAGTCATTAGCTTTTAAGCCTTGATTTTTAAAATGCGTTGTTCTTAAACTTGTTAAAAGAAATGTTCCATAGTGTTTCAAATTGGTGGTTTGTCCTCTTTTTTTTTTTTTTTTTTCCATAACTCATCTTATTTATTCTTTCTGTTTGAACAGGGGTTTTCATTCTCAGACCTTATGTATGTTACAAAGCGCAATATGGCTAATGCTGTCTCAAACTTAACTAAACATTTGGAGCACGTATCAGAGGCCCTTGCTGTAAGTGTGGTCTAGTATGCTCTTCAACCTGTTTTATTTAGAGGGAAAGAAGTGTGAGTATAGCTTGTTTCGTAGTGTTACTATTATTTTTTTTTAAATTCATGACTTTTTAGAACTTGACATGTTCTCTTCATATCCTTGTTGAAAATCTCATTTATTATCTACTATGACGTAATTGGATGCTTGATTAATAGTTGCATATTTCTGCATATTAATGCTTAATCCATATTTCAGATAGTACTGATATTTATTAATTCTTTTCTTTTTCCTGCTGTGTATATTGTAGAACTAGGTATAATAAAACATCCAATTCATTTACCCCACCCCTCAAGCCGTTTATTTTCCTTTTCCACCTTTTTTAATTGGAAACATTTTTTTTTTTTTTGCATAATGATGGTTTAATTTGTCCAACTCTGAATAAAGTATGCTATGGAGAAAAATTGTCCCTTTTTCATCCGGTTTCGGGCAGAGACCAAAGGTTTTGAATGATTGCTCCTGCAGAATGATGCAGGAAATAAAGAATTACCATTTTTGAACGTTTGTTTGTTTGTTTCCTGTGAGACTGTGATTTGTGATTATTGAGTGTGATGTCACTGTTAAGTCAACTACTCTTTTATTGGTGTTGGAAATTGTCAAATTGTTACAAAAATGAATAAGGAATGTGTTGACATTTTTTTACTTATTTCTTTGGTTAAATAGGCAACAAAGAGGCATTTGACACAGCGGATTGAGAACTTGGATGATAAGATGTTGAAGCAGAATGAACTCTCGAAATTGATCAAAGAAGATGTATGTCTAATGATTTTGCAGTTCTATAAACTTGACTGTTGAGTTTTTACATAATGTGCTAGTTTGAGGAAACCAATATGTTTGTGTATGGTGTAGGCATGTGCTAGTGTTCAGAAATTTTGTTAAATGATGAATGGATACATGGACTTTGTGGTGATCTGAAGTTATCCTGATGTAAATAAATTTTATACCTCGAAAAATACTGTTATTTATTTATTTTTATTTTTATTTCTTAGCATTACAGTACATACATACATACATACATGCATACATACATACATATTTATATATATAAATATATATATATATTTGAAAAAAAAGTCTTTTGCTATGTTGTAACTGCTACAACCCATCATACTACACTTTTTTCCCAGAGCGTTATTATTTTTTATTTAAGAAAAAAACTAAAAAGATAAAAGTTATATATAAATAATCGCATGCATCCAACGCTTTGAGGTGTCTGAATATTATCAAAATTTCACGTGCCAAGTCTCCAAGAAATATTGATAACTTCCATATAATATGATCACAAATAAAAGCTAAGCTGCTTTCTTATCTCTTTATAGAGGTAGTACGTTCGAAATTCTGTTCACATGAAGGAGTAGGAGATGCATTCTGTCAAATATTTATAAACGTTTACATCATGTTTTGATATGGTTAAGATTGGTGGAACAGGTAGCAGAAGTTCAAAAATCTCTTTCTGGCATCGACTTTGACTTGGCTCAGTTGCAAAACATGGTTTCTGGTTTGGTGAGTTTTCCATGAAAGTAGTTGTAAAATTAATATATATGTTTCTATCTCATAAGATTGGTAATCTGATCCATCTGTTGCATTTACTATGCGGTTGCTTTGACAGTTGTACTTGCACAGACATGTCAAATCATTTTTTTCAGTAACTGCTTCTGGTTTCGAATTTGATAAGTGATGAGAGATTCTCTAGAATTCGCGTTCACTTTTACTTGAGCATTAATTACCATACATCTCTTCTCTTGTTTCAGGATGGGAAACTATCTTCTCTTGAATATAAGCAGGTGAGAAACTTTCTCTTTTATTCTTTTGGGTGTATATAGTACTGACTTTGTCAGTTTGACTGGTCTTCTTTTATACCTTAAAATGCTAGGTCTCCAACCAAATAGAATAAAATTGGGTGATGTATCGCCTATGTATTTAGAATAGGGAGGTTTCCCCAAGTCGTTCTCATTTCCTGATATGATCTTGTTTTTTTTATTATTGCAAAGTCATTTCTACTATTACGATATTGGGAACTTTGCTTATGATGATCCGTTACTTTCAGGAACTTGCAAATGTTGGTGTATTGTACTTGTGCAACGTTGTTGATGGAAAGGAAGCGAAAATGTCTGAAACTGTAAAGGTTAGATCCAGTACTTGTGCAAATTAGCCTGAACTGGAAAACAAAACAACTCAACTATACCCATTATCAGATGCGATTATTTTGTTTCAACTTTCTCTCAATAATTGGGTCCTGTGACTCACTAATTAATTTCATTATTGGTCGGAGGGGTCCTTAAGTTACATTTCTTTTATTTTTCTCATATTTATCACATGTGTCTGTTGATCAAGTTAACTACATGACTCAATTATTTCCATTTTTTATTATTTCAATTTTTGAACTGATGTTACATGTTGTATCCCGGTACTTGCAGGAGCAGCTTAAACTTCCAGGCAGGACTCAGGGTCTGCTGACGCATCTGGAAACTCCTAATCTGAAGGTATACATTATGCAACAACCCCCAATTGATTGAAGGGGGAATGCATATAACGTGAAGTACTTTTGCAATTTGTGATAATTTAAGCGCAATGTTTTTTATTCTCATGGCAACCGTTGTGCCAACTTTCTAAAGCTTGGGCCGTTGTCAAGTATGAAACAATTATTCCTTCATTCACAAACATAATTTTTGTTGTGGAAGCACCAAATGCCCTTTCAAAACTTTCTATGATCAACATGTGCTTCTCAAATTTACCAAAACGCATCAAACAGATTTGGATTATTCATTTACCTGTCTTAAATAACTTTTAATTTTTATTACTTGTTTGTAAGTATCCCAATGATTCTTTCAGGGTCTTAAAGAACTTACTGATACGCTTTCACGAGATTTTACAGAAGGCCAACCAAAAGCCCTTCTCAGGTTTGAGGACTTTTGGTTTCATCTTGATTTTTTCCCTGTTTTCAGATTATTAGTGTATACATGTAGAAGAAGTGATTAATGTTCACTAATGTGCAACAGTGTTGTTTAACTGGGTTCTCATTATACTTTAGAAATTGGAATTTGAAAGGACCAACATCCCTCATCTTCCTCGAGATAACCCTATTTCCGTTTCCATATCTCGTGCTAGTTCAATTATGTGAAGTATAAACCTTGCATGTGTTAGATTGCCTTGGTTTATACTTTCTATTGGGGCTAAGTTACTAATAGAATAAAGGAGATAATAGATATGAATTGTCAGCTTCTCTGTATTAGATGACCTCACTTCAAAAGTTTAGATTTTATTAAGTTTGCCGTTTTTTCTTTTCCTTTTTGCCAATTTCAGAATATAAATCTCTCTTTGCTATGCCCCCAACAATTTCATAGAGAAGACGGCGTGCTATGTTGCTCATCATTTATGCGGTTGTTTTGACTAATGGCAGGTCCGCATCAACTAGATGTTAATGGGAAGAGAGATTGTCTGCTGTGCATCCTCCTGTGTCGATTCCACCATCATCCACACATTTCTTCAAGTTGTTTATCTTACATATATTCCAAGAAGGAGGCGCAATTTCTTCCTTTTCCTAAAATTTATGAATAGTTCATGTTGGCAATGAGTAAAATACCATGCAACGTTAGGACTTTTTTGAGGTGTGATTACTCCTTCACACGAATAAACTACAGTATTGAGAAATTCAATTCAACTCCAGATTCTACAGAATCAATGATATGTAAGGGTCATGGAACAAAATTTTGCCCCGTAAATCACTAGTATGTCGCTTCTTGTGGCTGATTATTTCTTTAGAATTTCATTCATCATCCATTCTTTTGTAGCTTTTTTTTTTTTTTTGTACAGTTCACAACATTTACAGGAGGAATTTTTATGATCTTGCGAAGGTAAAATAAAAGTTCCAACATTTTTTTTTTACAGTTTACAACATTTACAGAAGGAATTTTGAAGACTTTGCCAAAGGTAAAAATAAAAAAGAAAAGCTGTAACATTATGTTAGAACGCACGTCAAATTTACGTTCTCTTATTTAACATTTGTTAAATTCTTTCAAAATTTCCCCACAAAAATGTTAAATAATAACAAATATTTATTATTAATGCTATGGTAAATAAGTGAACAAAGAGGTTTATAAAACAAGTTCACTTGTATCTTGATAGATAATGCCAGAAAGACCCAATCCAGTCGAGCCAACCAAATAATTAATACTCAATGAGTTGAGCGGTGACCCAAAGAGTAAAATTCTGTTCGTTGACGGCGAGTTTGCGTCGTTTTTAGCATGGTCTGCCGATGAAGCAGGGAAGCGCACCTGACATACGTGTCATTCTGGTAACGTATGTCCCTTCTTTGTACGAGATCATATCCATCCTTGAGAAAGGTCGTTTCTTCCTCTGGTCGCCGGAGGTAACAAAGAATGCTCCGTTCATCATCAAGTCTCCCTCTGATCTCCATGTCCACGTCTTCCACACACTCTCCGGCGAGTACTCTCTCTTTGTCACCTGAGTTGGTTCACTCCCAGTTTTAGTTTCTTGAGAAAATTAAATATTTGATTTGATTTGATTACCTCTTTAGCATTTACATTTGGAGGAGCAATGAATCGATTGCCCTGGCTGATAATGATGGGATGCTGGCTACCACCTATGGCATACATAAGCCAATGAGTGTAGTCATTGTTGACGACATGGAAGAACCCCCATCGGCACCTTGGCATCCTCTGCACCAACCCTTGACCAAAGTGATTGAATGCCACTGTCACTTGCATTATCTGATCATTCGAGTACCCATCGCTTGCTCCGAACAGCATCACCTGCATTAAACTCCCAACTTTTAAACTCTTTTATGAAAACATCAGTCACATGGTTTCAGCATGCTTCATTACATCATTGTGGTGAGTGAAATGGCTATTGGATATGGTGATGGCAGTGGATCCCATGATGGCATCGATTAGACCATCTTGACAATTGGACATGGAAACATGGTCAATCCAAATGTTGGAGGAACCGAAAATTGAAATGCCATCGCCGTCGCTCATTGTCCTCAAACCCACATGGTCCACAGAGTCCCTGATCATTCCGCCGCTACCCATGACGATGTGATGGATACGAAGGCCATGGATGATCACATTTTGTACATACTGAAGAGTAATGCCAGCCCCATAAGCAATCTGAACATTGGCGCCTCTTGCATCTATGGTCTTGTCGCTGGACACGATGAGCTCCTGAGTTAGCCTAATGGCCATGTTGGTTGAGAATGTGATCCACAACGGCCCCTTTTGGATCACAGCATGTCGGAGGGTCCCAGGTTTTGGTTCCATGATATCCGAGTCCGACGAATCGTTCACCACGTAGAATGGACCCAACTTCCCGCCTATGGTCTTCCAGCCAAAACCCAGAACACAATCGGCCAGCTTCTTCCTGTTTTTGGCCCAATTGGGGTCGCATCTCCAGCACCGGTCAATGGGATTAGTGGCTAGACATGGCCCTGTATATCTCTTCAAATTCCTTCTCGTATCATTGCTTCCGCTCAATTCCCTGCATCAAACTCCAATCCCATTAATTCATTTCCCCTGAGTTCTTACTAGAAAATTTCTCCTGAAGATTGAAAAAAAAAGAAAATAAAACAACTTACTGCTCAACTTCAGCATTGAGGATGTCGGTGACGTTCTCTGGATTAGGGTCGAAGGCCTTGGCGGCGGCTTTCTCAGCCTTGGCGGCGCGTGATTTCCAGTAATCATCGAAGTTTCCAATGTCAGCATATGCAGTAGCCACCAAGGACAATGTTAGCAGAACCCCAAGCATAGCTCTGCTCGTAGGTGCTACCATTTCTGTGGGATGATGAAAGCCCTTTGAATCTTAGACTATGATTACCAGATTTGAATCCTCAAGCGAAACACGAAGGATTCCGCTTGAGGAAGTGTGAATTGCTTGATGGGAAGGAGAAGGTTTTAAGGAGTTATGAGGGAAAACAGAGGAAGATGATGGGGGTAGCGAAGGTCGTTCATGGCGGGAAGAAGGGAGAACCGTTACCTATTCAGACGGTTAAAACAGTTATTTACTAACATGGATATTTTCTGTGGCTCAGCTTCGGCTGTTTTTTTTTTCCTTCTATTTCCGTTGCTTTTAAAGAGACATGGAACAAACCCAGCTTTATATTATTATTATTATTAATTTTCTTTTTCCTTTTTTCTATCATCCTAAGAATTCAAAGTTCAATATTTACTTATGAAAAATAGTAAAAAATTTGTACGCCCACAAATTAACTAATTATTTAATTATTTTACATACTCAAATCTTCGAGATTTAACCACTTTAAAAGCCTAGGGGTATTTTCTTGATTTATTTACTTTTTTTCTCTTTTAAAGATTTGGAGTTTTTTTTCTTTATAAAAAAAAAAAAAAAAAAAACCTTCAGCGTTGTCTAATCTTGAAATTAAATATATATATATATATATATATATATGCATTTTTTTCTATATTTAAAAAAAAATTAATTAAATTAATTAATTTTAAGAATATTAAAATTTGAATTTTTAAAATTTAGGTTAGTATATAATAATTATTTTTTTTATCATTTTTTTAATTGAAAAATGAAAAATTTAAAATAACTATAAAAATTATCAGGGGAGAATTCAATTCTCGCAAGCTTTATGTGGAGAATTTCCACTCGAACCTTACAAAATTAGATGAAAAATTTTGCGGGAATGAAACACGTGCCAGAGATGGGGACAACTCCATGGACATCTTTAAGATATTTACCTTTTCAATTTTGTACCAAATAAGCTCAAACTTTGAAAATGTTAAATAAGTCTCAAATTTTTTATTTCAAACCTTTAATATTTTTAAAAATTAACAAATCTATTAAATAGTGTGTAACATTTATCTAATAATTTTTTATCTAATAGGTTTATGAATTTTATTAAAATGTCGAATACGTTAAAGAACTTATTAAACATAAAACAAAAAGTATACAAACTTGTTATTTTTGAAAATTTTGAGACCGCATTGTAACGTTTCTAACAAAAGCTTAACCAATATAAACAAAGAATACAAACTACACTATGTCGATAAATTTCATATAATTATTACATAATAGAGATCAAACGAAGAGAATAATCTTTATCTCTAAAATTATTAGATCATACAATAAGCCGAGAACATAGAAAATACATTTTGCACTCTTAAGTATATATATAGTTTAATTTATATAGTCATCTACTATACATAACTATCTACCATATATAGATTTACCGATATCATTAAACATCGAAGATCGATGAACATGTATGATACATATATAACAGTATAAATCTACTCTCCACAATCCAATAAAGTCCCAGAGAAGTTGGCTGTTGTCTAAAGTTAGGGATTCACCAGGATTTAGTTGGATACTTCCCAGACCTTGTAGTCTTTTCCCTCCATAACCAATGACCATCCACTGGATCCTCTAGGAGGTTCAAAGTTGCCTGGTCCAATCTTCACTCCAACTTTTTCATCCATGGTGGCTGCATACACATCCCTTTCTGCCTTCTCAATTTTAACCTGGAAATTACAGGACAGAGTAATTAAAGCCTACTTATACTTGTTCTTCATCTGTGAAGGCTTAGGCCAATAGGAATTTTCTTCAATCTTTTAAAAAGATCATTCATACTTACTACGCTCCGGCAGTGAAGTTTCTGCCGTTTTCTAAGACAAATAAGTGTTGCAATCTCAGATTTGTAGTGGGAGAAAATGTGGTCAAAGAATAGTGATGGTGTCCCAGGATGAGTCAGGATGTAAGCATATCCTTGCATTTCTTTTCCACTAGGAAATCTCCAATGACCCTACAACATCAGAAAACACCATCATCAAATTAATTTTAAGATTTAAAATGGAATAACGGTTCGATGAGGATTATTGGAAGTGAGTTCCACATTAGTTAATTGAGTGGAAGATCATGGGTTTATAAAGGAGGAATACAATCTTCATTGGTAGGAGGCCTTTTGGGGAAGCCCAAAGCAAAGCCATGAGAACTTATGCTCAAAATGGACAATATCATAACATTGTGGAGAGTCGTGTTTGTCTAACCGGAACCTCTCAAGTACAAACATCAGAGTGTGTATCTGTAATGAATGTTTCACCCAGTCAATAAACTGGTTGTTATGGAAAGATGTTTAAACCTGAGTAGATCCAGTGTCGTGGTTCTCTATAAAGGTAACAGCACGAGAGGGCCACCATCCAACGACTCCAGGAGGCTTTCGTTTCTGATCTGATAAACGCCAATATTCACATCTATCAACTGCCTATAAAACAGATTTTCCAAATGGTCACTGAAAAAAAAGAACATGGAAAAAAATATATAATAAGCATCTCACAAGTATATAACGTTCTACGAGTAAGAATCAAAGAATCTTAGGGATTGCTGCAGAAGTACTGCCAAAAACGAACACCAATATGATTTTTCTAATTGAATCCATCAGACACATCTAAAACAGACACGAGGAGAAAGTAGAAATTATGACAATATCATAAAAATTCTTTTTCTTACGAGTTTAATCCTGTGTTTTTAATAAACAGTCGTTACCCCCTGGTATGTGCCGCTTTCCTAATCAAAAGATGGGAGAGCACCCCTTCTCCTGAAGTTACGGGGTCATTTTGCCGACTTTCTTTGACATGTTTCTCTCAAGTGCCCTAGTATACTCTACTTGTTCACCTGTATCAGTTTGGGGTACGGTCAGTTCACTGGAAGGATCACCCTCCCAATTCGAAGTTTTTTCCTAAAGGTTTCAACCTTGTTAACTATGACAACAGTCACAACTATGGCGGGGTGGTACACTCTCTCAGGACCCCCTACTCTAATCAAAAGACTAAAGGCTCCTACTAAAAGGCGAGCAATGGAACGAGAAAGGCTTGTTGGCTCGTGAGGCTGAACGACACATTCAAAAACTAAAGCGCACACTCGAAAGTGATTCGAAAGGTGTCAGCAGGTGCGCAAAACTGAAGCCTGCCATGTTCACCCGCTGGGCCGAGTGTTCATCCACTTCAGAGTCTTCGCCTTTAGATAACAAAAAAAGGTGTCAGCCCCTTAGGTCGCCAAACTGCGACGAAAGTTTCGCCTTTCGGCCTGCCAGTCATGTAGGGCGACCGGACTAGGCCGAGTCAGAAAGAATTTGATGACTCAAGGTTCATATTAGGAAAAGGATAACAGAAATATTGTGAATAAGCTCCGAAATTTTCTTCCACAGAATTGAGAACCAGTTAATTGAATGAAAGCTTACAGAATGAAGAATCCCTTTGGTAGTAACATCAAATGCCCCAGCAGTTCCATTAGTAGCATTTATCCAGTCAATGATTCTCTGTCTATGAGCATCTTGATTATGATCCATCACACCATACGTATAGCTCAAGGAATCCCAGTATTCGCCAACAGCAAAGTAAGGTTCACTTGCATCCAAGTAATCCTTCACATAACCCCCCCAGAATCCTCTGACAAAATCAAGCCTCCACCCATCGTACCCAATCTCCTTTCTGCATGTCAGCAGCCAGAAACATATGCATAAAGCATGGCTACTCTAATCTTTAAAAGCAAAGTGAAAAAGAGATTTGAATTGATTAGGAAACCTATGTGCATACACATATCAGCAAATCATAGAGTTAAGAACATCAAGCACTTCGTTAAAACAACCAGAATGAAACCCACCAATTCATAATTTAAAGATAGCCGCATGGTTTCATTTCAAGGAACAAACATTAAAAAGATTGATAAGAAAATCAAGCATGACCCGACCCAAGAGCTCATGTATAACAACTCAAGCCCACCGCTAGCAGATACTATCTTCTTTGGGCTTTACCTTCTGGGCTTCTCCTCATGGTTTTAAAATACGTCTACTAGGGAAAGATTTTCACACCCTTATAAGGAATACTTCGTCCTCCTCTCAACCGATGTGAGATCTCACAATCCACCCCCTTGGGGGACCAGCATCCTCATTGGCACACCGCTCGATGTCTGGCTCTGATACCATTTGTAACAGCCCAAGCCCACCGCTAACAGATATTGTCATCTTTGGGCTTTCCCTTCTGGGATTCCTCTCAAGGTTTTAAAACACGTCTACTAGGAAGAGGTTTCCACACCCTTATAAGGAATGTTTTGTTCCCTCTCCAATTGATGTGGGATCTCACACCATGTACCAACGTAACTCAAACTCTTCGCTTATTTGGTTAACTTAACATATTTTAGAAAATGTCCTTCAATTTTTTTGTTAAGCCTCTTTTCACCGCTATGTCAAACTTATGAGTTATCATGTCACAATACAATAAGGTCTTCACATCGAAGACTAGAAACTATGAAATAAACAGATAAAAGTTCCACAGAAATTAATAGTTCAGCCAGAAAAGGATTGGTTGGGGAATTAACCTTAACCAGCATAACCATTCTTTAATATCATTTCTCACAAAATCTTGTGAATGATCAATGTTAGGCGCAGCATGAAAGTTATCTCCGCTACTTTTGTTGCCCCTACCCTTCACATGGCATGAAAATTGAATAATCAATGGGACATTGACATGTGTGCTGTCAAGGTTTTTATAACAGAAATGGGGTTATGAAGTATTTGCATTGTAGAATTTTCTCTCATTCTTCATCCTCAGTGTAAGATAATTAATTTTAGATCGCATATGAAAAGTGGATAATCATTCATATCAATGATCGAATTAATAAAACATCAAACCTGAAAATGTGGATCATCTGAAACTACAGCACGTTCATCCCAATTTAAGCGACCACCAAATATATTCCAAATACCATTTTGATTTCTAAAATGTGCACAACGATGATTTAGGACAACATCACCAAGAACCTTTATCCCAACATCATGGAACGTCTTCACAGCATCCTTCAGCTCATCAATGTTACCATATCTAAAATCAACAAAGTAGACTCCATAGAACAACAGTTTTGAACGATCATTGGACGTTAACGGTTACTCAACAAGTGATAATGATTTAATCTAGGAGTGGATTGAAAAAAGAAAAGGATCTGCATATACCTGGAACTTAAATTATACAAGTCCTTCGGCATATACCCCTCTGGTGACACAGATTCTGTTGGAGGTGGCAACCATAGCATAGTGAAACCAAGGGAGGATAATTCTGCAGCTTTATCTTTAAGTATCATGTACCATCTTCCAGACTTGTGAGATTCCCAATTGAACCCTTGGCACAATATTTCAAAACCTGTACCTGTGCCAGAGGATGTTTGAATGGGTGGTTCGACAGGTTTAGGCGTCTCAATTATTTCCTCTGTTGAAGAAGAACTTCTGAAGAGATTATAGGCTTCAGCAGACAATTTTTCAATTTCCTGAAGAATGCTTTCTTGTGCTTCTCTGGTTTTTTTCTTTTGAGTCTTCTGAGAAGAAATGTCAGTAACAGAAACTCCTTCAGATTCTTCTTCAGGTTTTCTAGATACTTCTGCATCCTCTGATTCGCTCCGTCTCGGGTGATCAGGCAGGTTACCAGAACTTGAGAAGGGGACATAGAAGTCATCTCCCTTATAGTTTAACCAAGAGTTCTCATTCTGCTTGAGAACAAAATGAAATCCTCCAAAATCTTCTTCTATGGTAAAAGTTCCACAACTTCCCTTCCCCCCTTCTTTCGGCTGCAAACATAACATTTCATAATTAATAATAATCAATTGAGTTATACTCATGTTGATTTTTCTAAGATAATTTTTCACATCCACGACTTATTAGGAGGACCTCACAGAGCCCGCCCACAACACAGGAGCAGGACTCTCTAAAAAGCCAAGGTACCACGTGGTTTGAGAGCTTAAAGGAGGCTACACTCAAGGTTCCCTCCGATTATATGTCTCTGAATTTCTATTCGTTGTCCCAATAATGCCAGAAAATAGTTCTCACAAAATGAAGATTACATAACCGCTATTGGATAATAATAACCATTCTGTTTCCGTAGCAAAAAATAGAAGCATTTGATGAATAGCAATAAGTATTAGCTCAAATTTCAGGAAGAAATATTTTGCACTGGACCTGCAGTAGGGTACGCAAGGCCTTGTTCTTGAACACTGTTGTTTCCGGAGGATGAGGAGCAGCTGGAATCTCCCATTTCCTAGTCTCATCTCTGCACGCTCCCCATTGAACAATAACATCTCCAGGTAGATCAGTTTCCAAATACAAAAGATATTTTGTTGTTTCTGGACGCTTACTAACCGAGACACAGACCAAATTATCAACAGCTACTTCTTTTACAATAGGCAGCTCTTCATAGAATCCTTCCAAATACATTTTGTTCTCCTTTGTATCTCCAGATTCACCATTGCTTCCTTGATCTTTAGAATTTGATTCTGCTTTGACAAGGAGGTTGTATAGCTGAACCAAAGCCCCTACAATTGAGGCCATCTAAAAATCATAACCCAATAACGAAATTAAATTCCCTCGAGTGCACAATGGAAGCAAGAAATGGACCATAGGCATTACTTCCTAGTTTGGTGCTCTAAGAATGTATACAATGAAAGAAATCACTTGGGATGTCTTGCTGCTCAACAGCCAAGACTACAGCTCCTATCATGAAATCAGATAAAATTGACATAACAGAAGAGATATCAAAGAGAAAAATACTTAATCAGTGGTTTATTGTACCGTCAATTAAATGGATATGCCATGAACATAAAATCATTTATTTCTGTCGGTCTTATTCAGCTCAATGGCTGCTTCCAATCAAGACAACTATATTTCATAAGAACTTCTCTAACCTGGCCATAAATCCAAATCCTTTTTTGTTCCAACTATATTTTCATCTTCACCATGGTATTCTAAAAGAGGCACCTTAAAATCTCTCCCTTTGTGCTGATACCAAACTCCAGTTTCTTCATCCTGCACTACCAAAAATAAGAAGTCAGATTCACCAAAAGAACTAGCAATATTAAAAACGAGAATGATCAAAGGACCAAAGAGGAATAGCAAACATCCTCAATTGCTAACTACTGAAAATAAGAACCTTCAAAACAAAATTTATAGTTGCAATTGTTTTGTCGAGAACATGATGAATCTTCACTTCATGAACACAATCTCCCGAAGAAGATGAGGATGATTTCTTCAATGGTGTCTCAATAGCATAATCCTGAGAATATAATTGTTATTACACTTAAGCAGACAATGCAAAAACAGCTTAGACATTGAAATGAAGAGACTGTTACAAACTTTGATGGGTATTGAGCCCGGTGGTGTAATTTCTTCAGGAGGTTGATCCCATTCGCTGCAAGGTTCATTCATTCATTCAACCCATTTTAGATGAAGGCAGGGAGGGTACAACGAAACAAACTCAGCTTCAGTAACTTTTTTAGTAATTTAGGCTTCTCCTCATACCCAAAGGAACATAGATTAAAACGAGATATACCTGCCACTGTCGTCCATTGAGGACGCTCCCCATTGAAGGATCCATTTCCCAGCAAGGTTACATCCTATAGTAAGCTCCAATTGGTTCTGGTCCTTCACCTGGGCTAGTCTGAAAGATATCATTCCCTTCAACTACAAGCTCAAATCAACAAGGAAAACAAAAAAATCTTAGGGAAAACAAGAAAAGCGAGTAAAGGCAAACAAAAAAAATTATCATCTCGAGAGTGAACAACTCAAGGAAGCAAAAAGGAAATGCACTTCCCAGCAGAAAGAAAACAGATCCCACAAATTAAAGAGGAAGAAAAAGAGCCCCACATCCTAAGATAAAATTTAAACCTTTTCGATGCGGTTGAGAGGAAACGTATCCTTGAGCAAGACATCCATAGATTGGAAAGTTTGAAGAAGAGACGCATTAGTAGTGGTAGCTTTAAAAGCAGGAACTCTATAAGAAGTGTAATTATAATTGACAAAGCTCTTTCGGCCACGATAAAGAACCTTATTTGGACAGTAACTAAAGGAACAGGTTATGGCGTATGGAATCTAGGACGGTGGTAAAATCTGTGCTTCCCTTCACCACAGTGACAGAGAAGAGGATCAATCCCAATTGGACATGACCCCACAGTTGCCACTCCCTCTACAGAGCAAGTTCAGGAAGAAGTTGAACAAAGAAAAGAAGAACAGAGCAAAAACCAAAACAGAGAGATAGGAGAAAAGTTACAGAAGTGGACGATATTTGTTAACTAAAATGTGATGTAATTTGTGACCCTTTTGATTTCCTAATTTGGTTTAGAAATAATATATCCATCCAATTCACAAAAAACGTTAAGAAAAGATCCACCCATTTGAAAATTTCGATTCTTCTTTGTCATCAAACGACTAATTGTGGGCTCTTTAGCTTGAAGAAAGAAACAGGACATTCTACAAACAGCTTACCTGCACTGCCGCTTTTTTAGAAATATTTGCTCTTTGCGACAGCAAACCGAATGAATTTAAGGTAGCAAATGGCAATTCGGAGTTCAGGTCTTTTCAGTTCTGTGATGATTGCTTCTTTTCTCCGCCGTCCACGCGGCGGATTTCGAACAGTTAGCATATTGGGAAAGTGGGTGTGAGAAGCCGTTCAACATCTTACAGTAATTCCAGCTTCAAATGCATCCTTGTTCCAATAATTCAGTCAAACCCATTGATTAATCACGTATTCGCTATCAATAATCAGGTTTATAAGTGTGCGCGTTGCTTAATACTTTGTCAATCCAAGATTCTTTTTTTTTTTTTTTTTTGGTAAGTTCAGCTCGTCAGTTTATGTGGGGCATTGACTCTGTAAGCCAGCAAAGTTGCTTGTTAGTATCATTTTTTTCCCTAAAATGGAAAGGTTTGAGCCACAAAAATGACGAGGCAAAGGAGTGAAGAGAAGAGCTATTGAGTTCTGTCTGTTCTTCCCAAAACAATATGAGATTGAAAATGGATGAACAAAATTCATCTGCTATCGTACACTTTACTGACAGGTTTCCCATTCTAACAAGATGATAGTGCAGACATCACTGTCTGTAGCATTTTCAATGATCCACCAGCAAATGCTGTTTAGCAAAATAAACATCTATCTATACTGAGGTAGAAGGGGGAGATCTATTGATGACAAAATGAGATGGGTTAACACAACTAGATAATTACTAATTAATTACCAAACAACCCAATTCTTAGGCTTTGACATTGGGTTTTGGAGATGGATGGGGTTGCTGATTATGATATGGAGAAGTATGAGAACCATTGGCGACTGAATAACTGCGTAGTTGCTGCCCGTTCTTCGGAACTGGTCCAGCCCCGGCATGGTAGCCATTTCTCGCCATTGGGCTCAATCGTATGCGGTCAGCTTGCATTGTCTGAAAATAATAAGATGAACTTGCCATGTCCTTGAGGTTTGGGAGGGGCTTCAAGGCTTCTACAACTTCACTCATTAGAGGTCTGATCTTTTGATCTCGACTAAGGCATTGAACAGCTAATTGTGCTGCCTTTTGGGCACCTTTTATTGAGAAATGCCCTTCAAGCCTAGGGTCTATCAAACGATAGAATCTCTTTTTCTCTCCTAGGTATGGCCGTGCCCATTCCACAAGGTTATGTTCACCATTAGGACGATTTTTATCCATGGATCTTCTGCCAGTTAACATTTCGAGAAGAACCACTCCAAAACTGTAAACATCACTCCTCGATGTAAGATGTCCTGTCGGAGCAGCATGTATCAGACCAAAAGCAATCGCCAGGAAGAATGAAAAGGCACAGGAAGACTGAACAAGATAACATATTTCCAAATTCTACAATTTTAATCTTAGTGTTGCCTGCTATGGGAACCTATAAAGAATGTCAATCCCCACACGCTCCTAAACTATAGGACCATAAGTTCTACTCAGTTCAAGGAAAATTTCCATTTTAATATTCTAAAACTCACCGGTCATTACGTATTCTGGAGCTGCATAGCCATACGTTCCCATCACACGAGTAGAGACATGGGTTTTATCTCCATCAGGTCCATCTTTTGCAAGTCCAAAATCAGAAAGCTTGGCATTGTATTCCTGAAATAGTGATACTATCAGGAAGATCAAAAATGAAGAAAAACAAATTATAACCACAGCTTCTGTCACATACGGCATCTAATAGAATGTTGGACGTTTTAAAATCACGATATATCACAGGTCTTTGTGCTTCCTCATGAAGAAAAGCAAGGCCCTTGGCAGCCCCTAGAGCAATTTTCATCCTAATAGACCACGGAAGAGGTAGAGATCCTGCACATGATATAGATTTTTACAAATGAGAAACAGAAGCATACATACGAGATTGGTTTTTAAATATTAAAAAGACTAAGCTAGTTAACTAATTAACAGACAAGATCGTAAGTCACGGACTTCCTGATATATTCGTAAGAGAAGACTCGAAGAATGCACCATTTACCCAGCAACTACAGGATGAATGGAAATGAAAAATGAAGCTACATACTCCGGAAAAGATGATTCTCCAGGCTTCCTCTAGGCATGAACTCATATACAAGCAGTCTTTGATCATCTTCGTTGCAGTAACCGATAAGTCTGACTAAGTTCGGATGTTTGAGATCACTAAGAAAGTTCACTTCAGCCTGCCACATAACACAACCCACCCATCAACTAGAAAGTAGAACATATGGAAATTCCTACCATCCAAACAACTTTTTACCACATGCATACAGGATGAAAAATGCATCAAAATATCAAAAAGACGATCAGAGAAGCTACAAACCATCCACTCTTTATGACCCTGAAGACCATCGTGGTTGAGCGTTTTAACAGCAACAGTGAGTCCTGTACCAGGTTTAACTGGAGCAGTTCCATTTTCTTCAACCCAACCCTTGAAAACACAACCAAAACCACCCTCACCAAGTAGACTCTCGGGTCTAAAGTTCCTTGTAGCCAACTTAAGATCATTAAATGAAAAATTCCGTAGATGAGGCGAAATTTTAAGTTCCTCTTCTAGTTTGGAAGTGGATGAAGTACTCTCTGCATTACTCATACTTGTGGCTGTTGAAGATATCTCTCGAGGTGTTGGTTGATCTCTACTTGAATCAGCCGTAGACTTGCTTTCAGCTGACACAAAAGGATCATAAATTAGTAAAACTCAAAAATTAAAAATAAAAAGTTAGAAAATGCATATCGATATCAACAGCGCAGGATGCAGTTTTGTTTCAAACTTCAAACATTAATCTAAATTCCCCATTCCTATAAACAATCCGTTACTTACCCACCATCTATAACCTTTTAAAGATTATCATCCACAAAAAAAGAACACTAGTCTGCATTTTGCAACAAGGGTTATCATAAGTCGAGGAGATCGTTCCAGGTTCGTAAGGTAAAAGCTGCATTCAAGAAAACCACTCCCGCTTTCTACAGAAGCTTGACTGGATAAGTCAAGCAGAGCTTCAAGATCCATTTTCTAGACTTCCATTACAACTTTTCTAATCTTAAATAACACAAATGCAAGATTAAGAACTCGCATTGTTCAATGATTTTAAGTACACAAATATTGTTGTTAATCAACTTGTGACAACAATACACAAACCACGCTTACTCTTGGACACTTTTGCGAAAAGAATCAATGCTGACATCAGAAAATGTTTCCAAATCACAACAATCAAAATCAAACCCTTAAAGAACATAAACTAAAGTAGAAATTTCAGGAGGTCCCAGAAAGCAATAAATCTAAGTTTTAAGCCATTAAGCGACGACAGAGAATACAACAAGAGGAAAATGATCTTCCGATAACATAAGTCATTACCATAGTTGATACTAGTCCCACTAATCGAACTGTCAACTTTGGATCTCGAAGAAATGCAGCTACCAAAAATCCTCAAAGCAATCCAACAACCAGTCTCCTCTTCCAAGTTTCCAATCTGTTCCTTGTTGTTCTTCTGCTTCTTCTTCTTCCCCTTCGATTCCCTCACTTCCCGAGACTCAACTTTCCCATCTTCAGCGATTACCTCCATGGCTCAAGCACCAAGAGAAACACAGAAAATCATAAAAATCCTCGAATCGGAAACACCATCCAGTGCCTCACCTTCCCGAGTCGCTACATCAACTGCGGCTAGTTAATTTTTTCCTTGAAAACAGCGGAAGTGAAGCCTACCAAAAGATCACTCAAATCTACCCCGTTTCACTAAGGGCAAAGAAAGAAGAAGATTACCAGATCGTATAAAAATCGATGAATTCCAAGAGAAACCCTTCAAAAGGCAAAAAATGGATGAACTAGAATGAGCTCATACAGAAGTCTCCTTTCCATCGAAGGACAATGATTGTTGCAGTCCCTCGCTGTTCAACTTACAAATCTGTGCGCCTAAAGATATAGATTATCCCCAAGATGGGTTTTCAACAAGAACAAGCAGATTAGTTTTAAGCTGGTAGATTTATAAATTTTATGCAACAAAAACAATTAAATAAAAGGAAAATTATTTTCCAAAATATCAATTCTCTCTCTCTCTTCCTTTTTCTTTCTTCCCCTCACCCCCATTTTCCAATGGAATCAAAGACTGGCCAAAAGTTTGCGTCGCTGCCCGGGGAAGCGGGCAGCGACCAAACTGCCGGCCGTATCAGCTGACCGTGGCCCGTGGCGCCAAATCAGAATGGACCAAACATATCGGGCATAAGAAAGTAGTAAACTCGGGCATTTCGGGCATGGGAGAGAAGGTGACCGTGACCCCACAGGGATGTTGACGTGTCTGCCTTCGTGGGCGGATTTGAATGCGCACGTCAAATTATTCGGTGCATTGCACGCACCTCTATTCAATTTTCCCTCTATTTTTTCGAATTATTAAAAACAAGTTTATAATTTATTTCTTTTTTCCAAATTGAAAAACCGATTGTACCCCTACCCCACCCTCTGCCCTAAATTATAATAATAGAGCTCCAACCCCAATCATTTCGAGCTCTTTATTTAAGTAAATTTGTTGACAACCAAATCAAATTGCACACACTAATTTTCATATATTTTCTGAACACAACTTTTTTTTTTTTTTTTAATTATTATTTCTAATTTTATCAAAAACCCGAAACTCTTTTCTTGGAACCAGAGGACGAGTGATGAACTTGAAGATTAAGCATTTTAAGGGGACTTATTTGTGTGCTTCTAATAATTTGTTTTATTTCTTGACAAAAAAAAAAAATTACTTGACTTGATGTTGCATAAACGTGCACCACATTGCTTCACTTTAGTCATACTAGTTTTAATATATTGATTAAAACTAATTGTTTTTTAGGTTTAATACAAATATATTGTTTTAATATATGTTTACAAAGCAACACTCAGACTTGAGATATAATACAAATTTTATAATTCTATTTTTTATATAAAAAAAAAAAAAACCATTTTCTTAAATTAAGAAGAGGGTTTGATTTTAAACATAAGTCAAGCTTCCATGACAAATATATTCTAAATTAGAGAAACTTAGTTGAATACTGGTAGATTTGATGAAAAATAAATATGATTTTATAACTTTTTTGAAAGACTTCCAATAAAATTATTTTTAAATTTGACTTTTTTAAATATAAATCTTCAGATATGTTTCGTTTACCCTAAAAACTTGTGTATAAAAAAGATAATTATCAAAAAGATACTATCACATGAATTAGGAAGAAAAAACACTGAATTTTGAAAGGAATCTATAAATGAAGATGCATTAATGTAACAATAACGCTAGATGTGTTGACCATAAAGTATATTCTTTGAATGAAGAAATTCGACGTACTTGTATGATAAAGTAGAAGCGCGCTTTAACCGAAAATCATTTTTTGTCACACGCGAGAATTTTTTTCCTGTCTTTTTTGGTTAGGGTGGGAGGTGCTATGAGCAATCCATCCATTTTGTTTTGGCAGACTTCCAATCCACAAAACTGAGTTGTTTCCCATTCCCACCGTCTCTTTTTAGATATGGGAGGGAATTGCCTGTTTTTGTACTTTATTTTCACTAGCCGCATAGCATGTGTGTGTGTAATAGATATAGAAATCAAAAAGCGTGGAGAAAAACTAGACCATCAAGCCCTTCAAAGCTTTGCTACCCAATGACAAATAACTTCCACCACCATAGCAAGGGGACCAAAGGGGGTAAAGCGTATGCACTATTTTTTTTTTCATACTTTTTTACAAAGAAGGAAACAGATTATGACTATTCAAACTATGTTCATTCATTTATCAATTTGGTCCATCATATACAAAGTGATAAGACTAAGCTCCTTAATTGTAATGTAGTATTCTAATAAAAGAGTAAGACTTTAGAACTAAGTACTTCTATTGATTTTAAAGAGATTTTATTCCACCATCTACATAGAACAATAAAGTCAAATAATATCCAAGAAATATCAAGAACACTAACAATAATTGAAACTCAGACCTGTCCATTGAAGTTGGCTTAATTTTGTGTGGCCTGTCTTGGATGATTGCTCTGCGTTGAAAACGTCCTGTTGGACAGGCCACAGGCACCATTACATCTCGTAGAAAGGATGAAAAAGATGCAATATTATTAGCTAACAGCATGGCAGGAGTTATTAAGGCATCAAATTTGGAATCAGGAACAGCAGATCTGAACAAGGTCTTCAGCTTTAATAGATGTAAAAATAGAAACATACAATCTAGTAATATATCAAAAACCAGCCACAGCAAAAGTTGCAGATTCACAGTTTTTCTCTACTATTTTCTAGGTGCAGTAACCTGGAAGCACAATCAAATAATAAAAGTAAAATAAGTACATATTTTGACATTCCAGAATGTACATCGATTCCATTTCCAAGACGAGGGTACACAACTTACAACACACGACTAAAAGCTATAAATCCAAGGTAAATTGATACGGGTGTATCAATCATTCAAAGAGAAGGCAAACGCGCGAATGGTCATTCATTGGCCTAGAAACCATAAAAATTCTGATCAAGAATGGCCAAAAGGGCGGGCCTTGGATGGACCCTCCAGAGCTCGAGATAAAATGTGAAACACTAGGAACCATCTTAAATAATCCCAGTAGAAACGCTGGAGGTTGCATTTATTTTCAGTGAGTGCTCGGGGATATACGTAGCACCTGTTGCATCAAAATAATTTAACGAATTTCTAGTAGATATTTTTTCAGAAAAATTATCGTAAGTTATTGAAAATAAGAATAAGAAAAAATCTATGTGAAAAATCAGCGGGCATGAAGAATGGTAGAATGAGAACCAAATCTATGATCTTGAGCATAATAAAAATAAAGATATTATTCCCTAATGTTACGCATATAAATCAAATTTGAATTGGTGTAAAACCTATTGCAAATAAAAATATCTGTTAAGAGTTACCGAAAAGGGAAATGAGAGAATTAATCTCTATCCTTTTAGGAGGGATAAATATAGAGAAACGATTCTCAATTTTAGCACATGACTCGCATAGAATTCGAGTTTGTTAGAAGCACGAGCATTGAAGGTAAAGTTTTAACAGAAACCAGAAAGCTTCCTCAGAAACCTCAGATGCAAGCAATATCAGAATAAATTTTCCAGACTGGATAATGATTAGTGATGGTGAGCAAATAAACACAAAGGAACTGCTTATAAGTTATACAGTCATATGGGGATATATGCTAGGAACCCAAATAGCTACTCTCTGCCGTCAATTGTCGCTATACATTGTATGCTTCAGTGTATGCAAACGAGGATAACTTGAATGTAAGAATAATGAGTGATCATAAACATAAATAGTAGGCCATGCCCGTCATAATTATCATTACCTATACTGTAAAATTTTCGAAGTGGGTTCACCCCAACCAAAAAATGTTTAATAACTTGGGCAGGATTATTTAGCTTTTTCTCACCATGGGTACGAATTTGAAGAATGCAGAGAAGAGAAAGAACGACCATCATTACCTTTTTCCTTGACATCAATCTGTAATGTGTCAAGCGTAATTATGCCATCAGTCAAGGGAAGTAGCTCAAGTTTGATGGTAGCTGTGGATTGAGAAGGAATACATCTGCAGAGACCAAGCAAGCAATGAGTGTTGGAAAAACTATTTGTGCAGAGAGAAAGGAATTATTTATTACCCTAATGGAACTCTACTCTGGAGCCACAAATGCGAGCAACCTAAACCAGCACTCGGGATGATATCTGACATGGGAGAAGATTGTTCTTTAAAAGAAACCGACCGGCCCGTAAAATCAACACTGTGTTTTTTATTCTCAGATGCAGCAGGAATTGATCTCGGTCTTCCCAATGTACTACACTTCTCACTGCCGATCCTTCCAGCAACTTCTTTTAAAACCATGTATGGACTCATGGGTGATGATGGTGAGGAATTCAACGAAATCACAGATGGAGAAGTGGATGAAGCTGGAGCACGAACCGTCATGGTCAGATCTTCAGATGTTAAATTTGATGCTTGAAGTGTCAAAACCTGAAATTTAAAACCACTTCAGATGACTTCTGATTGGACAGCATGAAAAATTAGTGCAGATATATATATAGTGGTGATCGTGGGGGGTTGGGTTGCTGGAAATTTGTAGCTTTAAACCTGAACGGGAAGGTGGGAAACAATCCCATTGGCTTTAGGGGGGTCCCCTGAAAGCACCACAGACACCATAAGATCCCTTGAAATTCGAGGTCGCCAACTAGTTGGTTGCTTGAAAAACAATCTTGACTCTGTACAAATTCAGAAAATATAAGAAATAATTGAAATACTTGAATAAGAGGCCAACTGACAGAATTATGAGATTGCAGTAAGAAGAATCCATATGCTTGTCTTCTACCAATGCCCCTTTAACCTTGGTTCATAGGATGCTAACCTTCTTTGTTTAATCTTAGTTGGCTTTAGAAACTTGGTGAGAAAGAAAAATTGTGGAGTGAGCATATGCTTTGAAAAAATAGCTTTGAAGAAATGCGAAGACATTATGGTCCAACAAGGTAAAACCAATCCAATGACAATTGTGATTAGTTGTCGAGAGAGACTTGTGGTTGTGAAATCAAAGAATCCTTAATGACCAGTGCAGGAATTGGGAGAGGGAGAGGGTTACTTGAAAATTCTATGTTTAGTCCTTCATTTCGGTGCTCCCCATCCAATTCATTTTGTGATTATTCTCTAGCCGAAATTTCCTTAAGTAAGTTGTTTTCTATAAGTTCCTATGGATGGGTAATACTTGTGCGATGGAAATTTTCCACAATATCAAAGAATGTGTTTATCCTCAGTGAAACAGAAAATCGCAAAATGCCCCAATTAAACTAATTAAGATAAATTATAAAAATATAGATCAGCGAACATACCAGTATAGTTGCACCGGCAAGTTACCATAATTGCATATTGATCAATATTTTTGGAGGTAAGCAACAAACTTGATGTCGCATTTCCAGCCTGCAACCGGGATGATTGAGAATTTCTTTCTCCACAAGCCTTTATATTCCTCCACATAGAAGTTGCTGGTTTGAGAATAAAAGAGTGCTCTTCGTTTCTCCTGCCATAGAGA